CACGCATATGAGTCATAAGAGATCACATGTAAGAACACAAGAGATCACATGCAAGAACACACATGTACATGTGAGAGCGCATATTTTGACTCGGGCCTATAGGGGAAACTTTCTGGCCATGTTTTACAACAAGACATGGAAGCATCGCCATCGTCACTGCGAAGTCCATGGCTGTATATCACTGTGCGGAAGCCATGGTTCGAAGTTTGCGACGCACAGCGGCCACATCCACAGCACACCATAGACGGACGCAAAGCGGCTGACGTCCCTAGCCATAGCAGCTTCCGCGGATCATCAGCACCATAGACGAACAGGCCGTCAGTGGCCCGAGAGCCACAACGTCTCCTGAACTAAGCCAACCAGAAACCGCTTATCCACCGTCCCGTGCTGTGGAGGTCCTGGCAAAAGCAGGGAGCCTCAGCACTATAAGGTGGAGAGGGACGGCAAAAAAAGGGTCCCTGCAACGAGATGAGCACAGCCTCAGCAAACACAGCTGTTGGAAGGCATGGCGCATGGCCAATTCTGATGGGCACGCAAGCCCAGCACTGCATAACGCATCCTCAAGCTTGGGCATGTTCCTGCCTGATCTGCTATACTCTCACGGACTCTCACGGATGTACCTGCACATGGCCACCACCAAGTCCGAACATGTGCACGGCCACAGAACGAAACTCGAGGAATGCACCGGCTTATACCGGCTCCAAACCACTATAGTTTCTGCGAGCCTGCGCAGTCAAAATGCGCTTCGAACATCTCGAGAGGCGTGACTGTACCGTAAATGCATCGACTTAGCCGCCAGATACGAGCACCACCGATGAACCCCCCGGCCTCAACACCATAAGAACCCCGTTCGTGTGACTACATTGGTTTGGGACACTTGCATCAAAAATACCACCCCGCCCAGAATCAACCCACGCGTTTCGCACCTTCGCGAGCTCCGGCTTCTTGGCGCCACCCTTCCTAAGGTGCTGGCAAGGTCATCTCCCGTGACGACGGATGATCTACCCCAGAAAGCATCCATGCATGGAATATCTACAGCTTGCTTTTATTCCCGTTTGTGACGGTCATCAATGGGGCACGTAACATCAAGTAACTATACCATAGGATGAATGGATGGTCTAGAGGCACCGGCCAGTTCCAAAGTTAGGCTGCTAAAGGAGAATCGGTGCCAATGATTCTACTCACTGGATGGGTCTTAAAACATGGAACTCCTAAGGTTCTAAGTCGAAGACCGGTGTGATATATGGCGTCGAACCGGGCGAGATCCACTGGATAGGCGAAGTTTCAAGATGTTTAAAGTCTTATTTGGCCCCTTGGTTTAGGGGTCTTTTGGGATGCCCCGCCAAATGATGAACAACAGATTTGTTGCAACCTGTCCTACACTGCCAAGAACTGTAGATGGTGAAGGTCCCAGTGCTTGCCGAGTTGGGGGTTTGCGGGGTCACATATATGGCCATGTCAACGGATATTCAGGTGGGGATCAGCCAGGCATCATTCAGCTCGTTCATGCAAGCTCAAGACCGGGGTGGTCAGACGTGGCGCCATAGAAGGCTTCGTCCAACCCAAACTACAGTAGGAGTTCTTGTGCTGGGTGATGGATCTAAAAGTTCAGCGACCCTCCAAATCTTCCAAGTGACCTTTTGATCCTCTGGTTTGAGGTCACTTAATCCGGCCTGTTAAAAGTCAGGTGTCACTTAGAAACTCCCAAAAGGGTCACGAACGGAAGAAGCTTGCAATGGATCTAAGTGGAGGTCAACCTAACCTATAGCTTTCTAGAGCCCTACAGACTATCCCTCATATAGGTACCCCACCCCCGTATGGTCGTTTTTCAGGTCAACTCACCTCACAACCGCGTCGGACGACTCTTGGGCCGCGACAGGGTGTCGGCGATGAAAATCTCCGCGTTGTCAGGGATGGACTTGGTTTTCTGCGTCTTCGTACCGGCCCCGTTGATGCCACTGGTGGCCTCACCGGTGCGAAGCGAACACCGGAAGAGGCGGGGGGTGAATCAGCCCGCACCGGTCGAAGGTCGTGAGGCACATGGCGATTCCGCCGGAAGAAATGGCGATTCGCCTGCCCGTAGACTTCACCCTGATAGGTTGACCATGTCCGGCAGTCCATTCTGTTCGGATGGTCAACCGGTCGGTCCCTTGAGGGGCATCGCGGTCGAGCTCACACGTGGAAACCCCCCACAGCCATGCCTTGGTGCTGTTGCCACCGCAGAAGGAGCCTGAGGAGCAGAGTGAATCGACCGGTGGCATCGACCGGTTGGCAAATGACTCGCGATCAGCTGAGGTGGTTCTTTCAGGGGTGAATGTAGGCATAATCTCATCTGTCCCATAATCATAATCTCATCTGTTCTGATTCGGTGAGACCTGTTTCTTCCAAAACCCCAATCTCCTCCGGCCAACTCCCACAACTTCCACCCCACCACTATATCGCAACGGTTAATATATTAATATATTATACCGAGATACTCCATCATGACCCCACACGTCCATAAGCCAAAGACGACCCATGGGACAATTGACCTACTACATGAAACAGTCCCATGAGTCATGTCTGGACTCGACACAACTCCGCTTGCGTCCCACGACCAAACCACCAGACAGGGTGCTCTTGTCCAAGAGCAGCGAGCGGCCACCCAGCTCCACCACGGTATTGGCCGCGGACATTCCCGCGAGGCCACCTCCCACCACGATCACCTCGGCCGCAAGTTTCGGCCAAAAGGCAGCCCGTCCGCAGTGTGTGAGGTGGGAAGTTTGAGGTGAACAAGGTGAGAGGCGATCCTGCGAGGATTGAGATTTTCGAGTGTAACCTAGGGAAACTGACCTTCTCAGTTTCCCTGGAAAAAGATTGTCAACCTCTTTTCACCGGTTGGATTTTAGTGGGGAAACCAAACACCCCCAACAAGGTGACCTGCAGGTTATCCACTCACTGGGTACTCTTTCCCACTCAAGGAAGAGTACATGAACTGGGTCCCCTGAGCTCCAAACAATTGTCCAACAGCAAGGGTGTATATCCCTGAACACATCATGTATAGATGAAGCAGTTCTTTACACAGCTTCAATGCTTGTCTCCGAATTGGGGTTGGAACAAAGACCAGGAGAACCTCCATCTCTCTCCTTTCTGGAACAGAAGAAACCATCTACATATCCCTTTTTGGCGCACTCACACCAGCCGAGCAACCACTGCCCGGCGCTTAAAAAGCACATCTCAGCTGCGAATAGTTGGTGTAACACTACTACTACCAGCAGTTCCACAGGAATGGTTTTAGTCCAAATGTGGGTGGATCAAGGGCTCTCCATTAAGGACCCCGACATGGAACTCCCGGTATGTCTGACCATCTCAGCGAATCGCTGCGAAAGAACCATTGACTTGTCTTCCACCGTTCAGTGTTGATCTTTAGTAGCATAAAACCACAGCCATGTTTTTAACAAACAAAAACAACAACTTGGAGGTCCTACTAATTTTCGAGGAATACTTAGCATAACCCTGTATGTCTTTGCTTATTGTATCTTATTGTTTCTTATTGAGCTTGAGTCTAGCCTGTAACAATGCTCCTTTTCCAACAGCGAATGAAACCCAGTGCGTATGACGTCATAGCAATGCTCAAGGACCCTGCCTGGTTCGCAGGGAACACAGCCGCCATGGCAACAATAATTGGATTTGATCTTTAAGTTCTCTTGTCCAAGCCTGCCTTGGGCCAAAAAAAGCGCTACAAAGGAGCCGCTGCTAGTCACGGGTTATGCCTCTACCTGATATCCACACCGCTCACATGAACAGAATGACGTAAACACAAACATGAACATCTGAGAAGAAAAACGTGCAGCAAAAGGCTTTCCTCTCAAAGCCTCAGAACTGCCACTTTGACCCCTTATCACTTTATGTTAATAAAGAAGTCTTTGGCCCAAAAAGGTTTGCTTCCCTTCAAACGCAGAAAAAGCGGATCACGACCCCACCCTGGAGGTCCCGCGAAGACCTTTAAACAGATCAGAAAACCAACAGACCCCTCCATTGGACCCAAGTGGTGGTGGGTGCTGGGAGCCAGTGAAACTGGTGCTTCTGTTCGTCATCAGGTAGCACCGATTGGCACCGTCCTTGAAACACACAATTTGGTGAACTGTGTCGAAAGCAATCCAATGTTTTGGTGGCCCCAAAATGTTGATGGTCGCCAGAAAGAACCTCCAAGGTTCTCATGAAAGCTTGTGCCCTGGCGAAGGGCGTATATTGATATATCATAGATTCCCCCAGATCAGAAAATGAGTGTCCTGTGAGTTCTTACAGGCACTTTAAGTCTCCCTGCCTGCTTCAGGGCTCCTTTGTCTTGGTGTAACAGAAATATCTTCAAAGGGGTTTGGAAGCTCTTGTTCTGATTTATCTTGAGTTGAGTGGCCAACAAATGTGTAAACAGATTGTGTTTTTGTTGAAAGGACGGCACTCATCATGTAGCAAGCGGAAGGGTAATGTGTTGAGATCATGTATATAACTCAGTGCTAAGGTAGATATGCCAAATTGGCTCAATGGAGGCATGATGAGAGTCTCAGGGATCATATTCAACCAATCCGTATACAACAATGGAAAGTTGCCTCTGTTAATCACAAGAACCAAATGACCGCAAAAACAACTAATGCATTCCTTGGACGTAACCAGGATCCTGAAACTTCCTGCATGGAAAACCTGGAAGACACGGACAAATCATGGGCCATCATCTCTTTTTTCGAGGGAAACCAAAAGGATCGGTTTTCTCAAAATCTTTTTGGGCAAATACAGAATTTCCAGTTGAATCTGTGCCTCCCACGTCCACCAACAAAAAGAGGGATCGATCCAAATCCAATGACACGCATGTAAGATTCTGCAGGTCAAAACTCTCTCAGAGGGGAATTGTTCCTCCTACAACCATGCTGCAACCCGGAACATCAACAAACGTGCCGGCATGGTCGACCGATTGCATTGAGCAATGGTGCTCCAACAACACGTTCACGGCTGAGGTCCCCCGCATTGAGGGGCCGTTGAAGTACCTGTGGGTCAAAACGTGGAGCTTCGAAACCCTCCGAACCACTGAAGGCCAAGGTGCTGAACCTGATACTCTCTTGTGTCTAATTCGACCGGATTGGCCCCCAGTTAAGCATCAACACTGCCGACCCCAAACGAGTGTCCAAAGAATGCATGTAAATTGAAAAACATCGGGAATGAGAAAAATGAAACCGATTGACGATTTCTTTTAACCAACTTAGTGCGGCTCCGTCCATTCTTAGGAGCCGTGAGTTGACCACCAGGAAAAGGCTGTTGCTGAGCTCGTTGGATTCCCAAAACGGAATCGGTGCAAACTCCAAATTCAGATAGAAATCCGTCTGGCTATTCTCAGCAATTACAACTCTACATTCTTTCTGATCTGCCCGGTCTTTAGATCTTCCAAATCCCTGTCCCGGATGCCATCTACAGTAAATCGATTTCTTCCCGCTGCATGCCATCCAAACCTCCTAAAAGTCGTGCAAAAATGCGCCGAGGGGCTTGGAGGGAGCTTGTACAGGACCAGAGGATTGAGCCACCTGAGCACGATCATCCGCATCGCAAAGGCTCGGTGGCTCGGTGCGTCTGGATTTCACCAGGACCCCGAGCTTGCATGAGAATCCTTGCTCGGACAACAAAGCTGCACGGGATACTACAGCTTGCATGAAGATGTTTTCCCGAGCACGGGATTTACCAAAGAGGAAATAGACAGAGACGAGTTGGGTTGGTCCTTCTTGAGGCAAGAATTTCACACCCACAAATGCACACAGTTCGTTCATGGACCGAAAGTTCCAGCCTTTGAAGAACCCCAAATCCTTATTCACGTGGCACTTCCTGCTCAAACTGCCCAACATTCATCCAGCAAACGTTGGGTTCAACGATGCTCAGAATCCACCGATGTTAGCCCCTTGTCATTCTGAAGGACACTGGGAGTCTGCCTGCGCATTCTACATCCGTAACAATCTGTCCTTGTGTTTGCCAGGAAACCTTGCCAACTTTGTGAGGTATGAGAATATGCCCCGGCACTTATAAAATTTCCAGGGCTGGTCCGAGAGAGAAACAAGACTCGGTCAAAAATAGGCTGTCACTCTGTTGACTGGGTCTCACATGCAGTCACCCAGCTGCTGACCTCCCTGACACGCCTCTTTGAGCGCAAGATCCCGAAGCAGGTCACATTGAACATTTTGCAAACGACAACATGAACATGGGCATAGTGACCTAGGTCACCATGGAAGTTGCACATGGAAATGCCAACACTTTGACTGGAACTTGGACTTAAAACTTTTACCGCAGCCGACGCTTCTCTCTGTCTTGTTGAAGTGACAACCAAGCGACCTCTCGCCACTCTTCGCCCTCGAGGACTCTAGATTCTGAGGCATCAGCCCATCGAAACTCGTAGCTGCCAGCCTTCATTACCAATCCCCTTGCACACCGTGACACAATCGATGTGTTTACGCCCAGTGTAGTTGCCGCATTCAGTACGGAAGGATGCCAGGTCCAATCATTGCTGTCAATCAGCCGGCTGTAGACAGGCTTTCTGTCAGACCTAGGTCGTCTGGCCCTAGTATGAAGAGCATGCACCATGTTCTCAGCACAGGAGACCCACTCCAGATTCTCCACTGCATTGTTGCCTTTGTCAAGATCTTTGTGGTTCACAAAGGTTTGACTCACAGTTGGTGGTGGACCAAGGAAGGCCCAGGCTACAAGACGATGAACAAGTTGGGCACGACCACGAACCTTTGTAGTGTAATATCCTGGCTTAGTCAAATGCCCTCTACTTGCCAAACCGCGGCTTGTTATTACGCGGCCCAGCGAACTCACCCATCTTCCCGGCACTTCAGTGTTTGACGTTGGTTCGACCATTGGCAGCCAACCTTCTCCTGGGCGCTCAAGATCCTGTACATCTTGGAAGCGAAATTCAAAGCCCGTTGCATCGGACTGGTTGCGGCAATGCCTTGATACTGTTGCTCTCTTCAAGCCAAGGTTTTGAGCTGCAGCTGTGATAGATGCGCTTGTTGTCCAGCTCATGGACCCAGCAAGCCTCCACATTACTAGTTTTGAGAGTGCAGGCCCACAGCTGCGCCTGGAAGGGTTGGAGTATGAGTGCAACACGTTTTCACTTCGCGTTACATACTCCAGGTTGTCCAACCGGTTGTTGGCTGAGTTGCCATCCAGGTGATGCACTTGCCAGGCTTCTTCCGATTGGGGAAGTCCATGGAAGGTGATCTTGACCACTCGATGAACTTTCCACATCTGCCCAAAGACGTGAGCGGTCCTATACCCGCTCGGATGGAGTGTCCCCAGGGAAATGGTTCCTCTAGTGTTGCAAAGTCGGCCATGCGAGCTCACCTGCCAAGACCTTATCGAACTTGGAAACGGCTGACTGGAGAAGTATCGCAACAAATTTGGCCGAGCGTGGCAAAACCACCCGATGCTCGCCATGTTGTCAACATTGTCCAATCGAGGAATTTGTACCTACCAAGCTCGAAACTGGTGTCACAAATGTCCTTTTGATATTTGTGTCATGCTCAAACTAAGCAACTGCAGCTCTATAGAGGTAAATGGCATCCACCATGTGAAGATGTGTCGGATACAAGACACGTTCTTTGTGGATATTTCAACCCGTTTGGGAAAGAATTAATGGATTCGTATGGATTCCAAGTTCGGTGCAATGCTTGCGCTTTGTCTGGGCATGCTACTCGTCACTGATCACCCACCTTTATCCACCTTTCATATCCTTCTCCCAAAACACCACATGCGCGTTGAGCCGACACTTTTTTTAAACAAAATGTTAGAATACATAAATGCAACAAAAACAAGTTGCTGTCTCACACTCCATTCCTCGCACATGCTAAATTTCAAACTCTGGAGCGAAACATTGCATCAGCAGCAGCAAACACTTCAACTTTAACTCAACAAGAACAAACTACTAGCAAAGAGTAGGTCCAAAGGCAGCTTAAACTTTAACATCAGGACCCAAGGTATGTTTCTGTCTCCCTGGTGACCTTGTAAACTACCATCATCACCTCTACAGTAAAAAAATGCACCTAATTTAATAGTGGAAAGAACTGAGTGAGTAGTTGGCACGACCAAACCTCGGCAGGGAGGATTCCAATCAAAAAGATACAGCCCTCCTACTCCTACAAACTGCATTCCTCCAAAATGGGTGCCACTTTTATAAAGGTGTGGGGATTTGTGGGGGTAGGTGAGAGCTGGACCATCCAGCGCCCAGTCCTCAGCTGCACTCAAAAGAAGGCCAAGGACACTGCATCAGGGTGCCATGTTTGACCCAAGTCATCAGAGTACCAGGTGTCAAGGCTGCAGTCGCAGAAGTTCAAGCAGCCTCAGCAAAGTTTCGCATAGGACAAAGCCTGGCGACATTGGCCAAGCTGTGCTGAAATGTCTTAATCTATCCTTGGAAGAAGTCAAGTGAAGCCTCCATGTCTGCGAAGATGTTCTTTGTCCCTTTGGAGTAGAAACAAATCAACTCTGCGCCACTCTTCGCCAGCGAGGGAAGAATCTGTCTCCGATGTGTCTGCGAGTTCGAACTCGTATCCGCAGGTTTGCCGCCGCAGCCCCCCGTGCACATCGAGAAACGTCACTACTGTCGAGACCAAGTTCATTTGCAGCACTTGCCATGGAGCGATGCCATGTCCACTTGGCATCTGTTCCCTGACGCCGGCTCCAAACAGGCCTTGCTATTGTAGTCTTACCCGGCCGGTGCGTAGATGTTGCATAGAAATGGGCAACATTCTCTGCCGGAGAGACCCACTCCAAATTGTCCACAGCATTGTTACCTTTGTCCAAGTCTTTGTGGTTGACAAGTTGTTTGCGATCTGCAGGAGGCGACCCAAGAAATGCAAAAGCAACCAAGCGATGGATCCGCACACTCCGGCGGAGAGAACTAGCGCGTATTTCTGTCAGGTAGTAACCCTGTTTATTCAGCTGCCCGGCACTTACCAACCCAGTCCGCAATGTCACGCGGCCAAGGGAACTCACCATCCTTCCCCGCACTTCACTGCCTGATACCGGATCGACCATTGGTCGCCATTCTTCTCCTGGCAAAGCAAGCTCTTTCACATCTTGGTATTTGAACTCATAGCCCTTTGCTGCAGAGTTCTTGCGGCAACATCTTGCTACTGTCTCTTTGTGCATGCCAAGCTTGTGAGCTGCAGCTCTGACAGAAGGGCTGGTCTCCCAGCTTGTGCATCCGACCGGTCTCCACAGCACCAGTTTTGAGAGTGCAGGTCCACAGCTGCGCCTGGAAGGGTTGGAGTATGAGTGCAACACGTTTTCACTTTGTGTTACATACTCCAGGTTGTCCAACCGGTTGTTGGCTGAGTTGCCATCCAGGTGATGCACTTGCCAGGCTTCTTCCGATTGGGGAAGTCCATGGAAAGTGATCTTGACCACTCGATGAACCTTCCATTGCTGTCTCAAGAGTGTAGCATACCTATACCCGTCCAAATGCAAAGACCCCAGGGAAATGTCCCCTCGAGTGTTGCAAAGCCGGCCATGAGAGCTCACCTGCCAGCACCCTTTGAGACTTTGAAGGGGCTTGTTGGCACAGTATCGCAGCGCTGTTGGCCAAATGCGGCGCACTCCTTGCCATGGTTGCCCTGTCCACATGTTTAACAGTCTTATACCAGAGTGTCCAAATCACGAACGTATTCTTGCAAACCACAACATTCATGAAATGCAGCACTGGTTGAACACCCTGACCAATTGAATCAAACAAACACAAGTGAACACTGATAGCTTTTACGAATTTGCCCACAAGTTGCATCTGCCTGCTCTTGTATCAATGCGTGTTTCATGGTGTGCATTTTTGTTCTTGCTTCAAGGATTAAACTTTGATCAAACCATCTAGCTTTCCACTTAGCCCTTCAAACAATACCAACAAACCATCATAAAGCCTTTCACCAACCAATCAACTGCTTCGTGGAAACAACATGCTTCAAGGGACGGACGATGGGTGTTGATCCAAACATATCCAAACCACTCTCCCAAAGAAACCTGTTTAGACATCTCTCTGTGATCGTTTCATTTAGGATCAACCGAGGCAAGATCAAATAACATCTGTGTATATATATATATATCTGTGTGTACTGTGTTTGCTGGACAAGTTTGAGGGCACGGTTGCTAAGAGGTACACTATTGGTACGTTAAGGCAAGAATAGGAATTATTGAAGTTCGAGTTCAGGCTCATCCTGTCCAAGTGAAGTTTCAATGCCAAGCAACGGGATTTTCCCCCAATCTATAAGTCAGATGGCTGGGTGCCTCAAATGTTTCATGGAGCCAAAGAGCTCAGCAGCAAAAACAGCTAATGCCGATCGAGAACCGGGAACCATGTTCCGTGTTTTCAAACACCAAGCTCACAGGTCTCTTCTGAAAATTCAAAGCAGCAGGTGGTGCCGTGTTGGAGCAGTTTGCTGCTGGGCTGAAACCACAAGCTTCCGGGGTCAACAGTCTCAACTTGTCGCAAGCCTTTGCTTGACCTCTGATTACACGGATCCAATGAATGCTTCTTTGAAACTCAACGGTGAACGTGGTGGGTGGTCCAAACACTCAAATACGTGGCACCAAGGTTAAACCCATCCATCACTTTGTTTAAGGGAAGGTGCACTGTGGCAGGCACTAGATTGGCCGTTATCAGTACCTGGAGAAACGCCTATAGCTTCCATCAATACGAGGTTTTCAGGGCAAATCCCGATTTGACAAAACGAAGGGACTTCGACGGCTCCAAAGTTTAGGAGCCACTCTCTTCTACATTCCTTCTTCGCATCTATTGACTTACCAAGAAACAAAAAAGAACATCAAGGTCTCTTTCAGAACAAGTTTTGCGCACATCCCAGCTTTCCCAGAGGTTGTCTGGGCGCCCAAGCCATACCAGGCCTCAATCACATGGGCACAACGTGCAATTGCAAACTTGGTGTGTGCACTGTCAGTGAAAACCGTGAAACATGTGTTCAAGCCCGCTAGCTCCCGGCATTTGGTGTTCTGACCGGCGCTTCCACCATTAGACACTGTCGTTGGTGAGGGGACTCTAGCTGCTAACCTACAGAGTCTGTGAGTCCATATTTTCGTCCCAACTCTCAGAGTCAGCTCGGCACATGAAGACATGAGATACTCAGAGTCCGCCCCATAAGGATGACCATGAAATCTTCGGAAACAGGTGGTTTCCACCACTTCTATGTTGGCTCAGAGTGTGTCCCCTGGTTAGAGCCGGATTCGGAAACTAATCGGTCGGATTCTGAAACTAAGGTTCTGAAACTGGGGTTCTGAAACTAGGGTTCTGAAACTTGGATTCTGAAACTGGTATTCTGAAACTGGTGTTCCGAAACTAGGATTCTGAAACTGGGGTTCTGAAACTTGGATTCTGAAACTAGGGTTCTGAAACTGGGGTTCTGAAACTAGGGTTCTGAAACTTGGATTCTGAAACTGGTGTTCTGAAACTGGTGTTCTGAAACTAGGATTCTGAAACTGGGGTTCTGAAACTTGGATTCTGAAACTGGTGTTCTGAAACTGGTGTTCTGAAACTAGGATTCTGAAACTGGGGTTCTGAAACTAGGATTCTGAAACTGGGATTCTGGAAACTTGTATTCTGAAACTGGAAAGTCAGATTCTGCAACTGGTATTCTGAAACTGGAAAGTCAGATTCTGCAACTGGTATTCTGAAACTGGAAAGTCAGATTCTGCAACTGGTATTCTGAAACTGGAAAGTCAGATTCTGAATTCTGCAACTTGCCTTCTGAAACTTGCAACTGGTGATCTCCACATCATGCGATAGCGTGTGTGCCTGTGACATCACCTTCGAAGCACATCCAAACCAACGTCATTAGCCCCCCACCCAACCCCCCCAACCCCAACCCCCCCTTGTCCCCATCGTGTGATCTCGACATCCCTCATCATTCACAAAGTTGCGGAATCCTAGTGAGGGAGTCCACAATGTTGCGGAATCCTAGTTGCGGAATGCCAGTTGCGGAATCCCAGTTGCAGAATCCTAGTTGCGGAATCTTGACAGTTGCGGAATCCTAGTTTCGGAATCCTAGTTGCGGAATCCTAGTTGCGGAATTCTAGTTGCGGAATCCTAGTTGCGGAATCCTAGTTTCGGAATCCCAGTTGCGGAATCCTAGTTGCGGAATCCGACCAAACAGTTGCGGAATCCTAGTTGCGGAATCCTGCGCAGTTGCGGAACTCGACTTTATCCTGTGTCCCCTAAGCCTCACTGACTGCCGAGCCGAACTTGCCTGGAAAACTTGTGAACCAAACTATCCAGTAACAACCGTTCATTTGGAGTGGGGTGTCTGCGCAGCGTCGCAGCGTCCCCAATTTCTCCAACATGATGAAAGCAGGTGATCCACTTTTCCTGGGCAGGCTCACTGGTGTATAGGCTGGGAGGCATCTGAGTTTTGGGCGACATTTGGCCCACTAGCAACATGAAATCGTTCATTTAGGGACCCTCCAAGTTGGCATATTTATTGGCATCAGTGAGTCTGCTGGTGTATGGTCATAAAGCAGGTCATTCTAAGATTCGCTGCAGAAACTGCAGTAAATATCCAAAAAACCATTAAATACAAATACAAACTGCAGGGGAGTAGGGGCATGCTGAATGGAAGGATGCTCTATCCATGCATTGTGTTGAAGGCCTTTCGTTCTGACAAACAAAGTCTTTACATGATCCGCTTAACGAACCGGAAATCCCCATAATGGGATGCACCCATGGGGAAAGTAAAATCACCGATCAAGCAAAACCAAGTGATAATATGACATGTAAAAATATGCAAAAATGCTATCTCGTTGAAGGATCCCCATGGTGCATACCCTGTCTTCTAAAGTAGTCTAATTACTACAAACCAATGAAAAAGGTATCGTGGTCAATGCAAGTCGGCTTGTTTTCCGTCGGGTCGGGCGGAACGGAACAAAAGCCTACTCCGAATTCCTGACCAGCTTGGACAATCCCCAAGAACTCCTTGGATTTGCGGATTCGAACACCCTCCCCAGTTTTGGTGATTCTCAGGGATTTCCCCTGTTCAGGAAAACAATCACTACCCAATCCGCAAACCAAAGAAGCTTCCTGTTAATGTTGCTGTGCTTGTTCAAAATCAACCAGGAGTTAGTCCCCTTTAAAGACCTCATGATATTCACATGGACCCCCTCAAAGGAAGTCTGCTGTGTCAGGAGTTAACAGTTATAGTTCTAAATCTGAGGCCTTTGGGTGCAGTTGGCCCGGATGCCGTTGGGCCTAGCAGTGGAAAAAATCAGGACCTCCAAGACTGGAGGGCTTCACCTGGTCAACTATCGTCTGTTCTTCATGTGCCTCGACCATACATACCAAACGTGGTACGGTATGTATATTGTAGCGCCAGACTCATGGTTCAAGTATTGATTGGCGGTCAACCAAGTGTAGGCACCACGTGGGTTCGGTTCCCTCCAAAGTCATCAGCGCTGCTGTCGTAATCTGTGGAGTCTTAGTGCTTCACCCATAGCCATTGGAGCTGCTCCCTGCTGCGCCGGCAGACCCTCGGTAGTAGTCCTGGCAACATGATACATCAGGGTCTCCATGGCAGATGTCAAAGATGCTTCTCTCCATGCAACATAATTTCCTGTCGTTGAGTTCTTGAGTGTTGAGACATGTTGAGGCATGTTAAGACTTGATCCCCAACAGGTCTGATGATCTTGGCCCTTGGCATCATCATGTCGATGTTCACGAAAAAACAACAAAAAACAAAAATAAACAAACGGTCACACAACAGACTAGTCTTCACTTTGGGGACATTCAGTAATCGCATGGTGTCCGGCATGTGGTTATAGTTTTAACGGTGATGTACACTACCAGTTTGGTTGACAGTTGAACCCATGCAATGATTTTAGAGACTACTTGAGGGACCTGCACTGACAACCACATGAATCTTGCAGATCTGAACTTTTGGGCCCATCCCCTCTCTTCCAAATCATGCAAAGCTCGACCATATCCATCTGGTCTCTCTTCTCATCATCGAACTGCCCAACCTGACCGTGCAAACGGTGGCCATGGCCATCTTCATACCTTCGTGTTGACACATCGCGCTGCTATCGACCCAGCGGATGTTGCCAATTGACACGTGATGGGTTCGGAGCGTCGTTGGAAGACATCCTAACTGAAGTGCAGAACGTCCCCAACTGTCCACCAAGGAGTTCCATGCTGGGGTGGTTTTGAGGCATCATGATGCGTCATGAGTGTATGGATCCACGTGGATGCGGGCCTCTCCAATGGCCAGGTCCAGGTTTTAGGAGGATCCCATCTGACCAGGTGCTTGGAATTCAGGGTCACTATTTTATTCTAAACATGTCTAAACTTAAGGTTGACCTGGTGTTGTAGTCTGAAATCATAAAACAATGGACAATGGTTGTTCAGGATGCGACACGTTCAATCAATGCTGGGTCACGAATCCTAGGGCCAAGTGACACGTGATGTACTGCGGAGAACCACACCCCTGCACTCTGGACATCCAATGCCACAAGCCATGGGTTTGTGTGCTTTTCGGTGTTTGGACTGCGCACAGTGCATGGATGCGAGGCGGAGGGTCCTGAAACTCCTCCCAAGACCGAAATTCATGCTTCCGTGAAAGTTCATCTGCAGTTGTTGAGAGTCGTCTCACAAGGGATTATATATGTGCCACTATCATACAGCTGTAATAGAGTTATAAATTGTGGCAATCACCCAACAATAGTATAGTAAACAAAGTGCAAATTGTTGGAAACAACTCTATTGTATAGACAAAAATGAAACTTCCATATACTGTGATCAAGTTCTTTGAGTCATCCTACCCCATTGGACTCACCGACCCTCGAGGGTCTTGACATGTATTGATCCTATACCTTTCACGGGGGTTTGGACCTGAACTTAAACCTTCACCTTTGAGGGTAGATTCTTTGGGCAAAGTGTACATACATGTACATCCCTTCCACCTGGAGGTACTTGGAGGTTTCGAGGGAACTTTCCGACACGGCGCTGGTGTCGTGTTGCCGCTGCGCCTCCCGGGAAATGGAACCTCCAAGTAAGTCGAAGTGGGGAACAGTGGTGTAAGAAACACGCAAAGCTTGGTGGATCGCATGAACTCTCACTCAACCGACTCCACCCATCGATGTTCCCCAGCACTGGTGCAAAACCCGTCACCGCCATGCACCCGCCCGTGGGCGCCCAGCCTCGGCACCGATGGGTCCCTTGGCGAAGTACCGCGAGGGGAGCCGCATGGGCTTGCTGAAGGTGATGTGGCACCTCTCAGCTGGGCCCGCCACACCGGCGCCGCCCACCATCGACACCCCACCGAGGAGTCCGGGCTTCACTGGCGCCGGCAAAGGCCCATGAGGTAGGTGCAAAGGGGACAGCCGGAGCGGTCGGAGCTGTTGGGGTTGGAGTGAGAAGACGCAGGAAGATCGAGCTCAAAGGAAAGAAGCTGTCTGTTTGTTAGGTGCAAGACTGGAGGGGAAGCATGATCAACCATATGCTCACAATTCCTTTCCACAACAGTCGCATTTGGTATTACGTAGCAGTAGTTGCAGTGAAATGGCGACTTGGGTGAAGGCATTTGAACACCAAAACGGGGGCCCCCTCCATTCAGTGTACTCGCCAATTCGATGGGGTGATGTCTCGGGAAAGGGATGTGAATGAACAGGCCTCGCCAGCTCCATTTCTGGCTTTTTCTCGATGTTCATAGATACCCTGTGCTGGAATCATCATGGACGTGGAGTGAAAACCACTGGTTTGGTCTTCGGATTTCATGGTCCAAAATCGAGGCCATGCCATACTTCGAAGAAGAGGGGGAGACACCCCAATCAATGGAGTTGTTGGGGTCTCATTTTCATCCTTTTCCTTCTGCCAGGGGGTCTTTGGGGTCTGAATTCTAATCTGACACCCATACCAGTCGATCTGTCTCGTCTTGCAGGTTGCTGGAGCCCGGGAAAAGGAACCGAAACATCTAGCCCACGACACCTGGGTGTTGGCTCGTCGACATCGGATCCGGATCCGCTTAAGTTCGGGATCCGCCCGAACCACGTCACGCGAAAAGCAACAATGCGTCAACAAGAATAAGACACCCAGAAAAACGACCGAGACTGCCATATTTGCCCAGAAACGGCCAGGGGTGTATCTTTTGGGGTCAATGAGGTGGCATATCTTCCAGTCCCATCAGTCGTGTCCAGCACATCCAATCCTATCAAAACCCTGCCCCAGCGGATCTCCACTCACTGTTTTCTGCAAGTTCCTCCGCTCTTCCTGGCCGCACCTCTCGTTGGGGCCACCTAAATCCGGCTCCGCCCGGCCCGGCAACTGCTACGACTGGGTGACCGCACTGTCTCAGATTCGACAGCGCGCCCTCCACCACCAGCTCGTACTTCTTGTAATGGCTCAACCTCAACACACTGGTCATCGGGCAATCTCTTCCCCCGATCCGAAAAGACTCCTCAGATGGAAAAAGCCATGAAAAACGCATGAAAACTGGGAAGGCCGTGCAACCCTTCCTCCAAGAGTTGCAACCCTTCGAAGGTGCCAAAAAAACAACAAACCATGACGACATATTCGAATCTTGAGGACCGTTTGCGTCGTCACGCCTCTCATGGACCCTTCTACCCATGGGTGCAGCTTGTATCATCATGTCATGAGAAACAAGCACTACAAGTAACACGATCTGCATGAGTACAGTGTCACAGGCTATGAATTATGGACGAAGACACATGAGACAATGGCACGACAGTGAGCAAAGCACCTAATTGACAACATTCATGGATACGGGTCAAACATTTGACGGGGCCGGGGATCTCCATGCTTTTTCATTGCCACCCTCTGTAGATAGCCCGCTGGGCGAGTGGGATTTCAACAAGTGCGGGCTCATCAAAGAGGGTCATACCTCGGGATAACTAATTACAGGGAGAGCCGTGTGAGATGGTAGGTTCACCGGGAAATGATGCACAAAGTCCGAAAGAACTTGCATGATTCTATGTGCTAGGGTAAGTTGTGGCCTATGTGCGATGCCAAAGTCGGACCAAACTCCAGTGATGGGAGGGACCCTGATCCGGTTTTGGAGTGTTTGGGATAGAACATAATAGAGCTATGGGCTGCCAGGGCTTCAATGTGTTTGATAGTGAGGCCTCGGCTTGCTCATGAATCCTTGTGCTGGAGGGAGTGTCTGGATTTCCGGTGATTCCTACGGAAGCACATCCAACAAATGGGGATTTGCCTTCTGAATGACATCTGAAACGGCCAATTCGAAACCATTCGACCTACGGTGCATCGAGGGGTCGAGGGGCGACGCGCTGAGCAAAGTGAGCAGAGGATCGACAACACGTCGACTGGCCACATCATCTGGCAGTACTGTTCAAATGTCGCCAGATGGGCTGCGAGCTGGGATGTTTCCACCTTTCAGCTGTATCCTGTGCTTGGATGGTTGTGAAGTTGATATCTGCAAGGGAACGCCATGTATGTCACTATATATGTCCCAGATCTTCTGTTTGCTTGACTCGATGTGAGTGCGTTTGATGGCAATTCTGGTCGAATTTAATTCAAGTTCATCCTGGAGGCATGCATCCTTGGCGGCTTGGCCGGCCAAGTCATTGCCTACCACCATAAGCAAATCAGTGCATATCAGTTGCATCTGCATATTTCTGATTAGCAGCCAGCAGCTATTTGTTTAATGAGGTCAAGGTGCGCAAATTGATATCTGCTGTGTGAAGGGCGTTGTGGTAGATGTAGTTGACAATGTCAGCTGTATCATATACTGTGAATCTGTGTCGAAGTGGACAGTTCTGTTTGATGTGTTTTTCTTTGCGTCTGGAGTCCTTCTAGCTGGGAGCATGCAAGGGTATGGAAGTCTTCGGCACGGAATGCATGTGGGTCCTCCCCCTGTGAAGATGTCTTCAGCTCCGTGCTGCTGGTGTTTTCTCACATCCTGTGGGTCAACACAGCTTCCATCTGTGAACATATGGAGGACTGGATTCAGTGCCACCCTCGGTCGCGGGTCGCTCACCGGCACTTTGAGGCTCTGGCAGGTTCACCCAGAGTGACGGTTGAGAGCGGAACTGCTTTCCCAAGACCTCAGGCGCAACGATATATATATATTATATATATATATATATGGACCGGCTCGGACCTCGCACCTCATGGCGGCTCGGAAGGTGTCCTTGTGTTTTTTTGGGTGGGTACCCTAAGAATCAAAGACCCACACAATGAAGTGAGGGCTTTGAGGGTCCAAACATGTCCAAACCTTCCATAGAGGTTTCAATCTGGCAATATCATCAAGGCAGGACCATGGCGTGCTGTGTCTATTTTCCATGCCATATATAGGATTCAAACAGCCACCTTTTCACCGGGTTCTCACCAAAGAGCAACAGCAAACTAGGGATTCTCGACTACAAAACCCAGGTCACCCACGTTTAACCGGTCGAACGGAAGCCTAGGGTATATAGAATGTGTATCTGCGGCAAAGTCGAAGTTTACTGAAACCAAAGACAAACTCCAGCATAGACCCCAAACAGAACAAAAGACACCGCGCTTGCGAACATCGGCCATGAACACACCGTGAACAACCCCGCCTAGGATTCCAATGGTTGAAGGAAGGATTTGTTGTTCTCGCGTGAGAAAACACCTACGTAACCAAGTGTTTTTAAATGTGTTTGCTGAACCACCATGGTTTTTCTAAGGATTTTTAGACTACCACACCGGGTCAATGCAGGCTAGGGCTACTCTACCCAAAACACTCCATGAGACCGGTACCTGATCTACCGATCTACAGCCAAAACATGCTTCACGATGTTCTCTCATGGGCGCCATGGGGTATACCAAACACTAAGCACTCTTGTTCGATATGCTTCGATCCTGCAATCACCTCGAATCGAACCTAGATCAGGGGATCGGACAACCCATCAGCCCCATCCCCAGATGTCTTTGACAGGAAAATCCCATCAATCACCCAAAATCGCTAGAAAAGTAGATCCCCACAACAATTTCTATTGGAAACCGTACCACTATACTTACCACTATCTATTTGGGATCACTATACATTTGCTATATTTGCTGGCATTTGCTTGCTGCGCGTCTCCCCAACTCACTCCGCACACCTCGCCTTCGCATTGCCACAGATGATGAGCCCATACTTCGCCCGCGTCAGCGCCACGTTCAGCCGCCGCGGATCGTTCAAGAAGCCGATGCCCTGGTTCCTTCGTGGCGGATCGAGGCCTCCTTCGCCCGGGGTGTGGCAAGCCACCGTGTCAGCGAAGGGAAAACATTAAAGAAAAACACAAAACCAGGGACTGGCGTTGAGTGGGAAGTGTTTTTGTTTTTTCTTTCGGGGCCAGGGCAAAAAGTTGCATGGAGCCTTTTCACTAGCTTCCTGTTTGTTTGGAGACCGCGCCCTAGCCTGAGGTTCAGAAAACACACATATTTGGGGTGGTTTGGGATGAAAGCTTTTTGGCGTATATGTCTTTCTTCCTTAAAGCTCTGGCAGCTGGAACTTGCGAGAATGAAAAACATTAAAAACGCATGTATACCTTATGGTCATTCATCATTATGTACACGGTTGAAGGGGTACCTTCCCGGTCCTCCCAGATATGCATGATGGATACGAAGAACAGCTAAAATTGGCTACATGATGATTCATGACAAATCAATCTCCCGCAAGCGCAAACCTAGGGGAAAGTGATTCTCTTGTTCCTTTTTGGAGTGAATCCGGCTGTAAAGATCGGCAAGGTGCACCCTGAAACTGCAAAACTGATGGAACAAATCCACCAGCCATGGGATACAAGTGGATACAAACAATCAGAAGAATAAAACCAGCACAGTTTTCTCTTTCCCAGGTGGTGCCAAACAGAATCTTGCTTCCTTCAACACTGTTTGTATGGCCCGGCCATGACAGTGCATGACTGCTCCCACCCAGATCACTGAGCACGTGGCTGGTTCGACCGCACGCAAGAAAGGAGGATGAAGTCCTATCCAAAGCGAAGGCTGGCCAGCACTAGCACTGAGTGAGGGCATCGTGGTGTGGAAGTGGAAAATGAAGAAGTTCCTCCTAAACTTGGGCATTGGGTCAAGATCAGTTGCATGTTGGGTTGCGAACACCGCAGGCTTCCAGTAGCTCGAACACCGCAGGCTAGGCCTTAGGCTTCTCTCGGTTGGTGGATACGTCCCTGAGCATCAAAAACACACCGAGCAGTTGGCCCCCCGCAGCGTCCCCGGCCTTCTCTCGTCCCTGAAAGCTGTCCACACTCGCCACCTCGATCTCCTCATAGGCCTGGCCAGCGGGATTTCTGGGCTGAGTGGAGTCAAAGGCCTAGGCACCGATGCCTAACTTCCTATGCCTTTGCCCACACAAGGTTAGTGGTGATGATGATGCCTAACTAACCACCTTGGAGTCATGATGCCCTAACCTCAGAAGTTCGATCTAGACTCTGGTTTGCCATGTTTGCCCACACCACGACCTTGCAGCACTTACCAGCACTTCACGGTAATTGCTGATGGTTGGTTGGAGCTTTTCTTGTGCATAAGGGGTAAACTAGTGTCAGGGCCCCAGGGCGCGCAATAACACCAGAATTCACTGGAGTTGTCCCAGTTGTACATGTAATTCCTTGACGCCAGAATCACCAGAGGCAGTGCTAAAGAGCAAACCTGAGAGGAACACCACGCTCCCAACACACTTTCAATTGCCCCTCAAGAGATGCTCATGTCATCTGCCGCACATGCGAGGACTCCAAGACGGTACAAGGCTCTATGGCTCCGTCCCAGATTCCCCAAGTGAGTTCACCACAGGACCTGGACCTGGACAAACAGGTGATCCCTGTTTAGAACATCCGATCCGTCACAAAAAGGGTTCACCCTAAGAATCAAGGACCCCGAACAGATCAAATGCCAGCTTCGTGCTCCGTTTCCTCCCAGGCTCGCTCGGCTGAACACGTCTGTCTGCGTCGCGCCTTGTGGCTGAAGCAGGTCTGGCGTTGTAGGACGGAGCAAATGTACGCCTCAGTGGAGCTAACTTTCTTTCTTTCGAATGGACGCTTCGATTGGACGCCAGGATTGAATTCGGTTGAGGGCCTAAAAGAGCGCTAAGATCAGTTCTGAGATTCACAAGGGTCGTCACACAGTGGAGCTAACTGCCAATATGGGTGTGTAATAAAATAGGGAGACCGGAGACCTCCCAAAGACCCTCTGAACCATGAACATCGGCAACCCATTGGTTGGGTGTCCTCCCTGTTGAAATACACACACATATGGCCAAAAATGGCGCCAGTTCACCTCATAGAACATCCTCCAAAACGGACACTGCATAGGACTTGCATAATTCACCCCGTCTCTCTTTGAGCGGCAACAAGACGCACTAGTAGAGCCCCCACGGGTGGCTGTGACCCTCAGAAAAATGGATGGACCACCATAAATAGTGGCAATGTACATAGAGGGTTGATTAGTACACCCCTCAGAATGGTTTTTCACGTCCATATTGGGGCTTTTACTTCCAAATGTTTCCAAAGTTTCAAGAGAAGGAGATCTCCCTCCTCAGCTGTTTTGGCTGCACCCCCTCCTCAGCTTGCTCCAAGTTGCTCGCTGGCCCTCATAGGGCGTGATGATACCCACCTGCCCGTGCTAGGTCAGGAGCATCTTCTCGAGTTCGGAAACGTGGGATGTTCGCTACAGAACGTGTCATACCATGTCTGTCGCCCAAAGGCTCAGGAAGGACCCTCAGTCCTAAGGGTATTGACCCTCAGTTCGCGGTTTTGGATCGAACCGTAGAGCAGTTGGTTCAGGGCGCCTCGTTCGGGTCGCCTCTGGGTAGGTAGGATGTTTGTTGTTCTTGATAGATCTGACTAGAAACATCCCAATGATCAGTTAAGCTCAGTCATTACATATTATCAAGGAGGAGTTAGTTTTTACCAACCCAGTCATACATCCATCGTGAGTCGGGAGCCCCGCAAGGAACTCCTTCCGCTCCTTCGGTCGGTTGACATTCGCATGGTGTTGCATGATCTTGTCCTTGGACTCACCACCAGCATCTCTAGGTCTCCAATCCAGGTGACTCACTCTACCTCTCTGCTCTGCATGATTTCGCTCGGCTCTGCACACCTGGTAGGGCTTCACTCCAGATTTCAAGAAGTAGGTCACCAGCTTCTCGATGTTCGTCGCCTGCGTGCTGCCGAGAACATAAAGAAGATGGAGGAATGGAAGAAGCATCTGTCGCCATGGTGGAAGGATTTCAGGGCCAAAGCAATGTCACAGATAGCTAGGAGAAGCGAATGATTCCCTAGTCTTTTTCCATTGACATCAATGGGAGCATAACAAGGTCTTTGTCTAGCATCGCATACGCAAAAATTGCAGCACGTGTTTCTCCGTCTTAGGGTTCTTTGCTTGTCCGTTTCACCAACGCGGAGCGGGCGCTCCCCTCGGCTAAGACATCTACGAGGTGGATGTGCGGATTGAACCAAAACTGGGAAAGAACATATAACCCCCAGCAGAGATGTACCCAGTTCTGGAAAATCAAACAAAAACATGCCAAAACCAGGTCTAGGATGGTCTAGGTCATCCCTCCACAGTGGAAAGGTCCCATCTCATCCTCGAAAACAGGTCCGACCGATGAAACTCAACATGACTGGCCTATCCCTGATCGCCTGCGTTCTGTTTGACTAAAGACATCCTTTGTCAAGTGATGTAGTCTGAAATCCTTCCCCTAAGGGTCCAGGTCCAGGACCAATCGAATGTCCTGCCAGGGCCCCAGATCGACCATCCAAAAAGGAGGTATACATGGACCCTATGGGGTCGTCAAACAATGGGTGTTTGGGAATCGAAACATTAAACGCACGGTGGGCCAGGATAAAACTGAGGTCTGTATACCCGTTTTCAGCGACTGGGATTGACCGGTGCTAGTTATGCATCCCTGTGCCTCTGATTAGCATTGCTGTTCACATACTATGCTTCGGGTATCTGGGTTTTGATCTATACCTTAGGTTGTCCGCGCACCATCAAAACAATGGTGAAGGTTGATCAACGGCACAGACTACGTAATGGCTACAGTATGCTTACAGTGGTGGTTAGTGATAAGGATCTTTGGACTGTTAAGGGGGTACAACCTCACCCAGACCCGCCTCTGAGGGTAGAAATTATCCCAAAATCAAAATCGATTGTACTGGAGGAGTGCAAGAGTGGGCCGACCCTTGTCTGCGTCCAAAAACTGTCCGAAGATGGATCTCACCAAGGCTAAGCCGGAAAATTTTGGCAAAGGACGTGGACACGAAGAAGAATCAACATTTATATATATGGTTAAATTCAGGTCTTAATTCAGTTAATTATGCTCTCCAGTCCGATCCCAATGTGCTTTGGCCTGACTCAACCTCCTCAGAATCAGTCCCATTCCCTGGCATTCGCGCCAATTGGTTTTGCTCCTGTGTTCCCCTTAACTCATCTCTCCATCTTCTCCAGAGTTCCTCAAAATCCAATGGCAAACTATACTTCATTGAATACTTGCCACGCATATCAAATTACACTCGTCTCATGCCATTGGTGCCTATCCCCACATCTCCCCTCCCTCTCCATCATCTCAAAACCACCCAAACCGCTCCTTCCGGCCAGCCCCCCATCCCAACAACTGCGGCACCCATCCCATGGTCCGTTCCAAGTCTCCCGTTTGGAGACACCGCCCGGGACGGTCCACTGTCTCGTCGGTTTCGGTCGCCGCGCCTCCGTGCGGTTCAGGTAGGAGGTCCCCGACGCGGAGATCTCTTCAGCGCCCGTGGAGTTCAGGAAGAACATCGGCATGTCCGGACCTCATCGTTTCGTCATCGGCTTCGGCATGTCCGGCTTCGGGGTCGACGGATCGGTGGTCCGGCTCGTCTTGGGCGCCCAGTGGTGTGGGTGTGGCGGAAGGTGCGGAACGGAGGGAGGAAAAGAAGGTGCGATTGCAGGGAACCACTGGTTTGAAAAAAGAACAAAACAACTATACAATATGTGGACTGGGGGTTTCCCAATCACACACTGGTAGCCACTGGCCCGTTCGCTAGACATCCGTCCAGGTCCAGTCCAGTCTGCCGGCTTTCTCTTGTTCTTGCCAACAGAGCATGGGGATTACCTTTAAAGATGTCTTCCCCGAGCCGGCCAACTGTAAAACCAGAAGACCTTTTTCGGGGTGGACTGTATTTGACCCGAAATTCGGGGTGGATGACAGGCAAACCTTCTCATCCAAAAACATACTTTCCAGGGTGTCCTAGTACAGAGATTCTCCCAGATTTTGAGTTTAGCGGCGGTTTAGCGCCTATATCAATATTCTGATGCCCTCACTGTCCCTGGCAAATAAAGGTCAACGGCACATTCCGCCAGTTCAACTCCTTTAGTGACGAAAATGAATTCCCCCCCACCAAAAATGGTGACCTGCAGGTTTTCTACGGACTTCCTGGGTATCTCATCTCCACGCACCGTGGCCACTCTGGACGAGCACCGCACGTGGCCAGGGGAAGTCGATGCCGGCATAAAGGCGCTCGTTGAGTGTGACGCCTCGATCCCCGGCAACGTGTTGACCGGTGAGCTTAGGAGTTAGAATGTGTGTGTGTGTGTGGTTTAAAAATACTGTAACAAATATGTAATATACAATATATTATGTTTATTATTATGTGCTTTGGGGGGTGTTTGGAACCAATTGCAATCCCAACTGCAATAGCAACGGTCACGATACGAGACCCAGTATCTCATCCAACCAAGCACCATGCCATAGCTAGCACGGTCCATTCACCATACACATCCACACATCCACCGGGGAAGTGCTGCGCAAACGCGCCAGGCGCAGATCGGGGAAGTTCTGCTTTCGGACCTCGAGAAGCCCTTTCGGACCTGGTGCCATATGGCTGTGGATCATGGCACCAGGGTGGACCAGGGTGGAGAGTCCTTCGCTACAGGGTGGACGGGCGGGCTCCAGGGGAAAAACAACCCATGCCCATGTTTGGTGCCCGGAGTGCACGGAACATGTGTGAACAAGCGAATGTGCTTCCTGGTGGCAGGACATGTTCGGATTTGGCTCTGCTTCGATCAGGCCTTTCCCTGCGAGAGCACTTTGAGTGAATTCTCCTCATCTCCTACAGGTGCTTGTAATTAGAGCGGCCTCAGGTTCACCTTCGTTCATCTTCACATATACTCACCCTACAGGTTGGAAATTAGTTCATCATACAAGAACACTACGTACTTCATGAGCTTTTCAGGACTAGAATTTGGACCTGGGTCGAACTTGTTTGATGGGGCCGAGCAGCAAAAGGATCGTTCGAGAGATCAAGATCGAGGCTCTCTGGGAGAAAAAGACAGGCCCTTCATCATGCGCCGTATGCAGCGTGTGTTGCTTCAAAGCGAGGAGATTCCCCAAAACCTGCGAGGTCTTCAGGGTCACAAGCCTTTGGTTTGGATGCTCCACTGAAAGTTCGGGTACCTCCACTTCGCCGCTCGAGATTAGCGACATACATGGATGTGAAACACCTACTGATGCCAAGGAATATGCCCACTTCTGTCCGTAGCCATATTGAAAACCGTCGTTCATCGCATGTAGTGACCCCGCCACCCCCTCCAATCTCAACCTGTGGTAGTGCACATGGTTTGCCCCAAGGTGCTCCACAGTCTACCCCAAGAGGTCAGGTCGACCAGACCGCTGCCAGACCCCTGAAGGCCCCGGACCGTTTTGCAAAGAGCCATCGTAGAACGACTGGGACGGGAATTCCGAGAGGCACGGATGCATGCGGTATTGAACCTGCAGGAGCGAGCGCTGCGAACGAACATCACGGCATCGATCATGGATGATCATGGAACATGTGGATAAAGAATGGTATATATATATATGAGATATAAAGAGGTTTTGGGGAACAATGGATAAAGCGGAAAAGAACACGTCCCTCTTTGATTGTTGCTGTTTTTTTCTTTGTGGAGAGACCAAAGACCTTAACCCAAAAATGAATCAACACAGCTGGAAGATCGCCTCAATCACCACGCCGGAGACGAACTAACTCGTGAGCCCTTATGGAAATGGCCATAAACTCCCATGTCCGGAGCAGATGCATATCTGTTCTTCACCGCATCTAGTTTGAGTGCCGAGTTCAAGTCAAACCTCAAAGAGAGATGCTCCAAAATTCTGAGTCTACAGAAATAGGAGGGCAAATTCTCTTGAAACTTTTCTGGAAGAATCTGGAAGATCTCTATATGAAGAAGCAACTCCAATTTTGAGGTTTGCAACAACGCTCGAACAAGCATCTCCAAATACTTCCGAGCATCTCCAAATCATTGACGGCTTCTTCCTTCAATCATTAGCCCTTTCCGCTTTTGCTTGGGACAGAGCATGTTGCAGGGAACACCACGAGCAGTTGCTTTTCTGGGTGCTTTGGAGCGATTTTGGTGGCCCAAGGGGAACGTCCAGTCGATCGTGACAGCTCGTGACATCTCGCATCTCTTTGGAGCTTGGCATGGGCATCTGGGCAACCTACGAGACTCGTTCCTCGATGCATTTCTTGAGATCGTTCCCTCAATTGATTGATCCTTCGGAACTTCTGCTGAGCTCCTGCTAGGTACATGAGCACCATGATCCACCAGCTGGCTATTCCTCCCTTCCTCCTGCACTGGCCTCCCTGGCCAAGCCCACTACGTAGGACGCGTCCGGGGAATGCGCCTCCAAGCGTACGGGTCGGATGCCCAAGAAGATCAGCCGCTCGAACAGGCTCTGGTGCAAGCCGGCCTGGGAGTTGAGGGGAGCCGAGTGGCCGAGCTCTGCTGAAACAAGGGAAATCACAAGACCAAGCCCCAAAGAAAGTTACTAGTAGCGATGCCCTGGTTACTAGTAGCTTCTTGCTACTCGTAGTAATGCTGGGCGGAGCGCCCCGTTCCTTGCGTCGGGCCTAAGAAAGAAAAGGCCGGGCCTAAGGGCCCAAGGCCACCCTTATAGCATCTATTAGGAACAACATCAAGCAGGGTGGTATCACAAGGGAACTTGACTCTCAACCTTGGGCTTCCTCCTTCGAACCCCCTTTGGACCAACCAAAAGGATGTGGGGCATACGTGGGAGACCAGCGGCACAACGTGGGTGGACCCGAGTCTTCAACCCTCAACTTGCAAGCAGCTCAGATGCCATTTCCGCTGCTTGAGTCCTGCCTGTGAATTTTGAGAGGTTTTGAGAGGTTTTGAACCCAAAAAGGCATCCACATACGCCCTTGAAATTGAAGATGCTGGGAGAATCTTGGGGATGTGTGATGCCAGAAAATGCCAGAAGGCGATGTATCCCTACCTTCCTGAGGGGAGCTCCATCACGCTTAAGCCAGTCTGTTGCTGTGGCAACATTGCGCCATGTTTACTTTTCGTCTCGCTGTGCAGGCTGTGAAGCTACTTGCCAAGCCTGTGCCTGTGACCCAGAGCTTTCAGGGGAAGACCACTGTCATACACATGTTTGCACCCTTGAATTCATTGACATGGAGGGCATCACCAAGATTTTCCTCCGCATATTAGAAGCCTATGTTCTAATCCCCTCATACCGATACGGTACGGTCTGCGTCAGTCCGTCAGTCCCAGTCAGCACGTGTCACGTGCCTTGGCAGCCTTCTTGCACATGATCACCTGAGATAGAGGACCACTCCAAACATACACCAGCGAGACTACCAGCGAGTACAGTGGGGTATAGACCCCCAGTGTCAATGCAAAGAGAGGTCAAGTGACCTGAACAAGGACCCTGCTGGGGTATGTATGGGATAGTCTGTATACTTCTTCGATTTAGCCTCATCTGCAGGAAACGGCACGGAGAGTTGCAGATACCCAACGGAGGGGTTGTTCGAGTGATCCACCATCATACACCACCCAAAGACCCCGCGACCAGTGCCTGTCACCTAGCAAGACAGCGAGGCTTCCGGCCGACAAGATAGCTAATATGCTGACAAAAGGCTTCCACATTGTTCCCCAAATCAGATCCGGTCACCCACTCTGAACACGAAACAGAAAAAGAATCCGAATCTGCACGGTTCCCAAGAAAGTCCCAAAAGAGCGGTTCCTTCCTTTGCGCTTTGCGTTCCCGTGGTAGCGGAAGTCGCCCCACCAAGATCGACCCGTTTAACTCGGGAAGAAGTCCATGATTCACTAGGGTTTACTCACTGGATGGGACCAAACTCCTGGTCTGTAATTCATTCTTGTTACCCCAAAGATTGGCCTTGAGATGCTCACCTCTGCATATGGACACCTGTCGAGCAAACCTCCAATCCGATTGGGCTTTCCGCACGGGGCCCAGCTGACAGTGGTCACCCACCAAGACCATCTGCTTGGCGCCCATCCTCGGGAACCGCGGAGCGTCCGGAGCGTCCGAGCAAGCCAAGTAGACGGTGTCCGCCAGTTCTTCCGTGAGCAAGTTCGGTTTCTGGATTTTTTCTGGTTGGTTCGGTCCCAAACCAGACTGTAAAAGGTCAAAAAGAAGAGAAACTCCCAAAAGGTCACTTGGAAGAAGCTGCAAGAGGGCGTTGTTCTGCTGTGATTTGTGACTGTCTCCTAGTTAGTATGAGATATTTTTCTGCTGTGATTTGTGAACACTCATCTCAAGAAGGCCATTTTGTTGGGTGTCCAAATCGAAAAGGATCTATTCAAGAAGCTGTTATGGTGGTGTAAGCAGGATTCATACTTAAGGCCGTGGGTTGGTGACGAAAGCTAGTATGGGTTGAAGACTGCGAGGAGAGTGAGGCTTTTTACAGCACTCCGGAACCTACAGATGATATTCCAGGCGAAGCATGAAGATGAAACAATTAGGAAATGGATTGATTCAGAGGTGTGAAAAGAGAACATTGACCCGTTTAAAATAACTGGGCTTGGAACATCTAGGAAGGCGGTGCGACCGGGTGGTACCATACAAGGCGGTGCGACTTGATAGACTCTGATAGAACCAATCTCGAGGTGAGGTAACTGACTTCATGAGTGGTAACCCGGGTGCCCAGGCCTGTATAGACTCTACTGACAAGATATTTGTCTACAGGACCTATTGGCTTGAAGCCAGATCTGTAGAGAAGCGTCTGTTGGCCCAATGGATACATTCACATGAGCCAACAGTCCATTCTCTCGCAGGTTGAGATTCTTGAATGTATCCTGCAGGTGGACGTCTTTCAGCATTCATGAAGGTAGTTTCCATCTGGTGAATAAAGCTTCCACCAATTGGATTATATCGCTTCAAAAAGAAGATGTGTAGGAGAGGGATGAGTCTGAACAGAATCCCTCTTTGCGGTGAAGAGTACTTGAAACTCATCCGTCAAATGTTACTTCTCGGACATGTCAGGTCCACAAAAGCACCCAATTTCAGAGAAGGGTCAGGTACGGTATCAGAGAGTACCTGTTCCCCACATGTCTTCCTGTTACCCAGTTGGAGGGTCGACGTATATCTCATTCACCTTACCCCAAAGTGTATACATCTGCGTGAACTCCGATAAGCACATCACATGGTCTTCATGGAAAATGACTCGTTTTGACAAGCAGGTTTTCCACTGGCAACTCAGCCAGTCAATTACACTTTCCGCTGAACATCTAATTATGACCAAGGTTGGTAGCCTGTATAGGTAGGGCTCCAAGATGTTTCAAGTGCAAACGGGTGTGTCTTAGTGCGTCTTAGTGAGACTAATTCCACCGGATCCAGCTCCAGGTCCATGATTTTCCACACACCAAACGCTTCCGGTCCGTCAAAACCACGGTCAAAAGCATTCCGTGAATTCCGGAACTTCCTGACCACTGTAAGTGCCTTCAGTCACCGCCGTCCACCCCCAAATCAAGAACACCGTCGTCGTCCTCACGTCTCCTCCTCCGTCGTCTCCATCCGGTTCTCTCACCGGAACACGATGAACGCGGGTTTCCGCGGGATCCGAGATCTCCGGGTTTCCGGGCATAATGGGGATCAGGCACTCGGGCTCGGTGGCCTCGCGACCGAAACCGGCTCGGTGGCCGCGGAGGGAGGGACCGTGCGACGAAGCGGAACCATGGGTTCTGTTCGGAAGCGGAACAAAAAGGGCGTTCTGCGAAGGTCCAAGCTTTTGCCTTCGACCGGGCATGTTTGTGGAGTGGATTTCATCTGCACCAAAGGCCCCTCCGGTGCCAAGCTTTTCGAGATTCGACTGCTATACCAGCCATTCATGTCCGGCATTCAGCTGCTACACCAGGAGTTATATACCTATGCCTTCCCTATACCAACAATAACTGTTGGTCTTGGCAAGGACAAATGGAAGTTGCATCATTCGATGTTGAATATCAACTGCAAGCCTGTGCTGAATGCAACACCTCACTGGGCTTGTTGTGGGGCGACCGTTCACCCCATGTCACCCCTGTCCCCATGTCGGGACAACAATATGTTGGCCTCGATCTTTCGCATTCGGCTGGATGCAAGCAGGGGGGTACAGCAACAAAATGCCAGATGTGTGCACACGTATGAGCAAACACTTGGGTCAACGGTATCGACTGCTGCTAGTGTTCCAGTTCGGCGGCCTTTTCCCTCACCAGGCATGTTCCAGTGGCAAGCACCGGGGTCGTTCGTGGGCTTTTGAGGTTGACCCATGCAAGACTCTTAGTTGACAGCTCCGGCTGAAAACGCCAAGCATTACCAAGCTGCAAGTGAACATCACGAACCTGGACCACTCTTCCGGCTCTTTCTTGACCTTCGGAAGCTTCTTCTTAAGACGATCTCCTTGCTGTGCCTCTCGGCCTTCCAGTTGGACTTCCCGCTATCTGATAGCGTCTTTTTCTGCTCTGCAGGCAAATTGAAACACCTGGTGCTTAGATTCAGCTCGGTCGTTGCCAGCATGTCCCTTTGCTCTTCCGAACTCCTCCTATTCCTGACTGGTGCGACTCGTAGCGAATGAGGGTGGCTGGATCCAGATAGGAATTCTCTATTGGGAGCCGAAGGCTCCTTCCCTTATTCCCTACGAGTCGCACCAGTCAGTTTCAGCAGAGTTCAACCGAAGCGAGGACTTCTCCACCGTTCGTCTCTTTCGTCGAAGAGGCAGGACATGCAGGGCTCTATGAGGAGCTGGCTCAGCTGGCTCCCGAGGCCGGAGATTCCTGGAACATTAAACGGTTAAGCTTTGTTCGACCTGTTCGCATTCAGTGGGGAATCCATCTCCACTGTCGACTGGATAGATGATACAAAAAGAATCCACCTTCAACAACGGCTCATGTTTGATGGGACATATAGATATTTGTGGGCTCCTTACCTTCCACCTGAGCAGCAGCTAGCAGTTCAGCCATGGGAAGGTCTCCTTGACTAGATCCTTTTGCCCCAACTGGGCCAAAACGACTTTAAAGCCCTCGACCTCAAAACCCGACACACAGTCTGGTCTGGGCTCTAAAAACCCATCAACCGTTTTAAGTATCTTATGCACAATTACGGAGTTAATGACTTAAGCTAGCTGCTAGCTTGAGACTTAAAACCTGTGAAGAAACTTCTATTGGAGTAACTGCAAATTAAACTATATAATAATCAGAATTAATAAGAAGTATACATCCCCTCTGCACCTGTATGAGAAACCGTTTCTTTCAAACTGCCACCATCACCCTTCCTTCAAGTTCCTTGACCATTTGTACACTGAAGTGACATCATTGACACCTCGGCAGCCTCGGCCCTTTAAAAATAAACACACGCCAGGCCTGCGAAAGGATCCCCATGAATCCACCCAAACACCGGCCCCGGTCGTCCGACCTCCTCGACTCCTCGCCGTGCCTGCGTGGATTCATCGACCAAGACCTGTTTGAAGCGGAAGTTCTGCAAGCGAGGGTCACCCGCACCGACCTTGGGCTGGGCGAGGTTGGGTGCTGGGGTTGGTGTGGAGGGAGGAAAACGAGGACAGGTTGCATGCAACACGTTCCAACGAGCAAAAGCAACAAGACCTGTTTACCTGTTTCGCCTTGTTTCACCTGAATCACCTAGACGCTCAAATCTTTGGAAAGTGACTCTCCAACAAAAAGGCCTGTGTTTGGGTGTCAAGGATTTGATTACTGTAGTTGGTGTTGTGTGCGCCATGCTGCCAGGTTCGCTCGTTCTGGAGACGTCTTGTGCGTTTCATGGGTCTCAAAGAAGCTCGACGTTTCTTCTCTTCCACTCCACGGAAGACACGACGGATCCATTGAGGGTTCACCTACCCCCCCCCCTCTCTCTCTCTCTCTCTCTCCTTATCTTGAGTTTGCTTAAGGACCCGTGAAAAATCAGATAACAACAACAAAGATCAACAACGAGATATAGTTATTCTCCATTTCAGGGGATTCACCCCTCAATAGCTTGGTCTTGAAACTTCCAAGCTTTCCATGGGGTTGGCCGCTCACAATTTCAATGGATCCAGGCTTGGGCGTGCTCACCTGGGGAGGTTGGATCGGTGAACGGTGCTCTTGTTCATAGATTCTGGTGGATGATGTTGAGCCAAAACCCTCCACCCCACATGGTCTGGAGTGATGTCTGGAGGCCCAAAACCGCCCCCCTGCGCCGCAAACCGCCCCAAACGCCACGAGCTCTACATCCGGACAAGCTCGTTTTTTTTCGGATCGAATCCCAGCAGCTCGTTCCCACCAATTCCTTCAGTCTAACGTCTCTTCAGCTCGCAGCATGGCGGGTGCTGGGATCCTTTCTCCCTCACTCCCTCCTCTCCATGAACCAGTGCAGCCTTTGCTTCAGACCGAGTCGCGCAAGTCGTGCAAATCACATCCGCGGCCTGCGAGTCTTTGAGGCGTGTGCGAAACCTATTCCGCTACGGAGAGGCCTCAGATCCCGATGTCTTTTTCGTTCCCCCAATAATGGTGACCTGCATGCAGGTTCTCCACTTTTCCTGAGTCTATTAAGGGAGTTTCGGCGAGTGGTTTCGGTGGCCTCTTCCTTGAGCCTCGACGACGGACCCCAGGCCTTCGTTGGTAGGGAGGTGGGACATGTTCTTTCATCCCTCAGCACCTTCGACAAGGGGGATGCATGCCTGAATCTGGAAGGTTAGAGAATGAAGCAGAACATCTGGGGGTGACCCACTCTGGGATCTTTGGGATGTCCCTGCGCAAAAGCTTGCTAGGTGGTGAGCATCTGGCTGTGGGGCAAAGCCTATACCCCTACCCCCCCCCACTTCTTGAAAGGGACGATCCATCAGTCCACCGTTGTGGCAGGTGGGTTTAACCGTTCAACGGAACTTGTTGGGGCACCAGTCTGGAAATGGTTGGGAAAAGTTGGGGCACTTCAAACAGGTCTTGTTCGCTCTCTCTCTCTCTCTCTCTCTCTCTTTCTCTGGAAAAATGCACAGCCCCAGCTCTCTTTCTCGCTAACTACCTGCCAGTTTTGAGCGCCAAAGATTCCTACAGTTGAAGACAAGCACCCCCAGTGGGAATCTACAAACATCCCCCAAGAGCGCCGTGGTGGAACCTTCTCCACCCGGTGCAGAGCGCCCAAAGAAACACCTACCTACTAGAAGCGATGGCCTTGCTACTAGTAGAAGCTAGTAGTAATGCCCTTGTTACTAGTAGCAATGCACTTGTTACTAGTAGCTTCTAGCCACTAGTGTTAACCCCTTGCTCCACCTGCCCAGCTACTCAGCGCCATTCTTCTGACACCGCTCTCCATCCAGTCACCCTTGTGACACGTGCGAAGACATCCAGTCCGACGATCGTCGGCACCACCGAAGCCATTCCAAAAACCAGAAACTCCTATGGGATGGTCATATTGGCCGACCGTCCCATGGGAGTGCCTGGTGCTTTCAACCTCGTTTCGAACCCATTGACCCTCACCACCCGACTCGAACCGGACGAAACGAACCGGACTCCACTCCACCAAACACCTGACGCGACGCGCACCGTCAGCAGCTCTCGCTCCGTGGAGTTCTGCAACTGTTTGAACTTCTTTTCATCGGCATGTGAGAGCTCACCTCGCGTGTCGTGCGCTTCGGGGGACGCTCGCCGTGGGCGAGCTCGAGCGGAGGGTGTTCGGGTGAAGGGGAAGAGGCCTGCGGGAGTAGACCGGGTCAGAGACGGAGAAGAAGAGACAGAAGAAGACATCTTCGAAAGAAAGAACAAAGCAGTTGCGCATGTGAGGAGGAGACATTCGACCAAGGAGTCGGTGAGTCGGCGAGTCTTGAAAACCTGTGCAATGAGTGGCGAGTCGCATCAGTGGCTCCATCCGGCGGAGAGAGACGTCTCACAATCGGACATCACCGGTCACTGAAGCAGTATAGAATGAGAATCAAACAGTTCAAACAGTTGCATTGCCAATGAAGGCCATGGTTATTGCCCTTCTGACCCTTCTTGGTTCTACCATGTTTGGAGGCCCAACAAAGTTGGAAGTTGATCAAACTTGTACTATATTTATGTACAAACTGCCTTCCTCCACCCAATTCCTGCTCCATACCTGCTTCCAACCAACCCACTGAGATCAAAGCCCAATTCATCCTTCAAAGCCAGCAACTTCTGGAGCTCCTGGGGACATTCCCAGGCAGCTTGTCATGGAGGAGGGGCCTCTCTCTCTCGTCTTAGACACCCGTTGGTCAGCAAGCGCGGTTGACATGAGGGCTTGGGTTGGCGGATTTGCAGTGCCAATTTGGAGACAACGTCCATTAATATAAGAAAAGCATCGAAAAACACACCCGGAAGAAAGCGGATGGCCAAAGCAGGGGTGATTCTTGTTGGCAAAAAGATATTCTGTATCTCCTTGGCCAAGTGCTCGGTTTTCCGGCGGGCCCGGCTGGCCAGCTTCTTGAAAAGCCCACCTTGGGCGTGGCTTTCGACTATAGCACGCAGAATTCAAGTCAGGTGTACAGAACTGGGTGCCTTGGGTACTTGAAGGCCCTCGTCGACATGCTGCAGGCGTCAAGAATCCACCCCTTTTGGTAGGCCAAGCACATCTGAGTGGCCTGTATTGCAGTAACTTGAAAGGTCTTGAGAGGACGCCAGGCAAGTCCAAGTCTGTCTGTCTGGAGAAAGGGAGATGCGTCTCCATCTGGGTTTCAGTGAAATGAAGTGCTGAAACGAGGTGGACCAAGTCAAGTCTCCCATATTTTTAGAAAAAACAAAATACTTTTTCCCTAGCCTGATCAAGTGGGTCAACAAATCATGTTGGTTTCACAACCCTCTACCAAACCTGCTTGTTACCCCCTTCACGGGCGAAAGCTTCTGCTTCTCCTGATGGTCGGGCGTGTCCAAATGCCGCACTTGGTGGTGCCTCATTGGCTCGTGCGCAGGACAGTCAAGACCAGAGTGGATTCCGCAAGGGTAATAAAGGGGGGTGTCTACAAAGGTAAGTGAGCCCCGGTGTAACCACCCCGAACGTGGGATACCCTGGGTCCTGGAAAAAAATCGAGAGCTCTCAAAGATTCATCAAACATCTTCTTTTCATATATGTCATATACATGCTCAAGAGAGTTTTCTTGCCCGCCTGGGCTCCCATCGGTCACGCTCATAATCTGTTCAGGATAGGCCCATCAAAAGGCATAGTTGTGTCTTTTTTCACAACGTTATCACTCCCAACCTTTTGGTGATCTCTTTCGTTTTTTCAGGTCTCCCCAAGCGCCCTGATGACAGCGCGCTCGTCCAAACCTTGCTCTCAGCAAGGTTTCATCAACAAACGACGTGGACCGCCTCCTCCGGGGACAGGTCCAGCTTGTCATCTGGACTGGCTGTCACATATTCTTTAACCCATTACCCTAAGAGGGTTTGGACCCGAACCAAACCTTACCAACCCAGTGGTTCGGGGTTAGGGGGGTTAGAGGGGCACAGTACATCAAAATCATGCCGAAAAATCAACAAAAGCAAAACTATACAAAACACGGTCTGGGTGGTCCCGGCAAGGTCAAGAAGTCCACACTGCTGGCAACCGCTTCGCGGCTCTTGGCACTGAGGCGCACCACCTGACGGGAGTGGGACTGGGGAGGATTTGTTGGAATGATGAAAAAAGGGTCTGCTTGGTGCAAAAAAACAATGCGAGTGTGTGTTGCCACAACAGAATTTGAAAGACATAGGAACCTGTTCATCCAGAACAATCAAAGTCTTGTTGGGGGGTTAGTGCTTTTAGAGCATTAACTATAACACAGTTTTCACCTGGCAGATCTTCTTTTGCCGAGTTCTATCAATTAGGACAACACGACACCGAATGCCGGAAAGTCAGGACCTCCACACCTCCAGACAGGCAGGGATTGGTTCGCTGGAACAAATGATGGCACCTACAGTGTAGGTCTCGAAACTGACGATGGCAGAGCCAGGTGTTGAATCACCCGGATGGCAGACCTCCCAATGACATCCAATCTCCGACTCCCAAAGACAGAGAGAGGTCTGGCGTCTTAAGACGCTGTCTTCTTCCGCTCCTTCGCCTCCGTCGGGTGCGGCGGTTCGGCCTTTAAGCCCGTCTTGTGGAGTTTCTCGGCCAACTGGTCCACAGCGATGTTGGAGGGAGCACAAACCAAGACCTGGAAAAAAGGAGTGAGCGATGTTGGAGAGGAAAGGAAGGGCCAACTGGTCGCAATTGGATCCATGTCCTGGTACCGAAAAAAGCAAATCACATGGGGGTCCAGTCTGGACCCCTCCGGATTCGGCTCCAGCCCCAACAAAGAAATGGGTTCATGAGCGGAAAAAAAGCTGGGGGGTTGAAGAAGGCCAATGGTGGACTCAAACAGTTTTCCGTATATACCTGTCACAGGGAGCTTCGAACTTGTGAGGGGAAGAGTGGAACCAACTGTGACACCGCAGCACTGCGCACATGGAGAATTGAGCATGTCAAGAGGTGAGAACAACTGAAAAGCCCGCCCAACACAGTATTCCGGTGGAAACAGAAAGGAACAGGTGACCCCCCAGGTAAGAGCAAATGGATACAACATGATACAAATGGTCAAAGTCAACTGCATAAAAATGTCTTTGCCGCAATTGCCCTCATTCCGTAGCTTCTTCAAACTCTGCTTCTTGGAGCATTTGCTTCCTCCAAGTTTGTGTGTTCAGTCGTGCAGCCAGGGGACAACGGTGACAACGAACGGAAGCAGCTGGGACTGTAGGTGTTTTCCCAAATGAACCGAACGAACCAGCTTGCCCGGGGGGGGGGGTTCGTGAACCAGCCTCACGAGACCGTCAGTTCTCAGATGTCAATGTTGCTTTCAAGGCGAAAAGAGACGACTTCGTATTGCCGTATTGCTTCTGTGAGCATGCCACCAGCTCTGGCACAGCTCCCCTTCACTTCGAACCAAAGAACAACCTTCACACAAAATGCACTGCAATGGAACGACGGAACGCGCCTGACCCTGGTTCTGCCGCGTGAGATGGAAAACAATCGTGGCACTGGTCACGGTCTTTCCAGTTCCTGCATGAAGAGAAAGATCACTGGAAACTGGAAGACCCATGGACAACAAGGTAATTACACAAGGATCAAATTGTCTTAGAGTCTAAGGCAACGATAATGATATTACCGTGCTTTTGCAAACTAAACTATTTGTCATTATTTGCTCCTCTTACCCAAGGTAATTGCCTTTAGCAATCCAACATGCCACGAGGGTCCATTCTCCAGTGAAGTTACTTGGACCTGTAGGGGTATGTGTCACTTCCCCCGGCTTGAGAAGGCTTGGGGGGGTTCTCAATGATACTTGTTTTTGAACCTGATCCTTTCGCAGTGGCCTTCAACCTCTCAGACGAAAACATGAGTTTGGTATTGAACCACATAGATTATGTACATCAATATATATTATAACTATATGTATATATATATATATATTGTTTCTTTAGAGGTATGTAAGGGCTTTGTGGTCAAAGGCAGCCCATCAAACATGTCTATTCTGCAAAGGAGACGCAATCCAGTGAAACGATACACAAGAAAATTAAGTCTTGATCAACCAAGAAAGCATTTAACAACAACTACAGACCAATCCTTCCTTTCACCTGGCACCAAACAAAATTGAAAAATACTGTACTAAAATGTCTTGAATCTATATGTTCACTGCAGTTGAAGGTGAATGGACCCAGTGGACCAATAGCGAAAATCAACCATGCAGGCTGAACCACCAAACCTGTAAAGGATGGACCACCACCGCCAGGGCTTGGGAAACAAAAAAGCGTGGGCGTTCGCCACTCTTGAAGAAGAGTCGAATGAACGGGCATGTTCCGACATGTAACAGAAATGCATGCTCCGAATCTCTAAAGCCGGAAAATGGGAAGTTAAACACCTGTTCGGTTTTCAAATCCAGGTCTGCCACCACCTGTTGTAATCGTCCAAATCGGTAAGAGATCTCAAAAAACTTCTCTGACCGACCAGAAAGTCCACCAACAGAATCGGTGGAATTGGCTGTCTTGGACCATGATTGGCAGAAAAACCACATCCCTTTGAAGTTCAGATCTTTTTTGTGTGAAAATAATCCCTAGCTATACACTCCCTGGAATCATCATGGAAGTGTAGATCACCATCGGTTTCGTATTCGGATTTTGATCAACAAAGGTACATCCATTTGCGACCGATGTACCTGCAAGTCTCCCGACCGCCTTCTCCCTCATGCGACCGATGCCCCAAAGTCCCTGGCCTGGAGGCCCCTGGATGAGGCATAAGGGGTTGGACAGTGCTTTCCGCACAGCGAAGACCTGCCACAGGGCGATTTCGGGCGGATGCTCCTCCCACGTGGCGACTCACCCCGAGGAGACTCACCCAGAGCTTTCCGTGAAAAGCAGTCGGGTCTCTGCTGAGACCCGGGACCCCTCCATATGAGGGTTCAGGGACGCGTCGCAAGACAAACATGACTGATTTAGCCTGTCCTCTTAGTTTTCTCTGATCACTGCTTTGAGGGAACACAAAGGTTTGTGTGTGAGTGAAACCCTGACGCCCAAAGGAATTTGATGGTATGCGCTGGTTTAAAAGTGTTTAAAACTCTTCTTCCTAGGGATCTGGCTGCGGCGTCTCCAGATTTCCATACATACTCAGGTCTTCAGGCGAAACGTGTCATGACCGAAAAGTTGGAGCTTGCTGGTTTTACGCCGGTCCCCGTTTTGACGACAACGCAAACAACGGAGGGAATGATGAAACGTGAGCACAAACTGACGCAACCCTACAAAGCGGCTTTATCCATCCCCCAAATCAAACAAGAACGAACGTGGAAGGTCGCGGCAGGAGAAAAAATACGTCCCATTCTCGTATGAGTCTGCAAAGACCGGGTGAACTCCATCTCTCTTGTGGTGGACCTTGTCGCATTGCCCAAAGGACCGCTCAGCAGACTTGACCCGAGCACGCGTTGGTCGCCCTCTTCCAAATCGAGCGACAAACGTCCCACGAGCGACGAGATCGCACTGGCGCCACACTTCTGCTGGGCCTTCGCTCAACTCGCGCGAGGTCGCCGACATGGCGCGCGATGGTTCGACGGTATTGGGCGCCTGGGAGTGGTTCAACTGTGGAAGATTGGGCGCAGTGAAGTGTTTCGGCACATTGGCACCTGAGCCATTTCCGCTGTCGTTCGGCGGTTACGCAGTGCGACACGGATCTGGTCCAAAGAAACAAACGCGACCCCCTGTGCCGTGCCCGTAATGAAGCGTAGAAAGGTAGAAAGGGATGTCGGAATGTGCTGCAAGTAAAAAACAAGTCCAAAACCTGTAACCACTGTTTGATTCTCTTTCAAGAGTCAGGGTATGCCAGTTTGTAACGCAAAGGAACCAAGATATGAGGGATTCAAGTATTTTCTGGACAAATCCAGTCAGCTCGGCGAAATCGCCCAGTTGCGATAGATAGTTCTATGCAATTGTTTGCGTTTGAAGACACCGGATTGTACAATCCCCCGGCCCAAAGCGGGATTTTATAGAAGAAACACCACATCCACGAAAAATGTTGGTTCATTTTGGCTCTGTCAAAGGGGAAATCCTGTGTCATCTATACGATTCTATACGGGTCTACAGTGGTGAACACTGAGCAGGAGACACGACGGGCGCATGATGGGTAACAGCACCCCTACTAAGAGCATATCACGTTCCAACACGAATCATTGCAAGTAGCTCGACATGTCTTGAACCAGGGAGGAAAGTTGTGTTCGTGTATTTTGGATTCACGACAGGAATCAATAGGCTACAGCAATAAACATAAACCGTGCTGACCAACGGTGGTGACCAACGGAATTGTTGTATCCCCTCCCAAGGACTGTGAGTTCGATGGTTCGCAACTCGGAAAGTTTGGCTTCTGACTTGGCCGGACATTTGCCTGCTCTCTATCAATGTCGACATGGCAAGTGGCAATTGCTCTCTTTGTCCAAACGCGTGCTAAGCCACTGGAAATAAAAACCCATCTTTTTGTCTCGGGGAAGCAGCCTTCTTCACTTCTTGGCAACATTTAGTGTCTAATGTCCACCTGGAGAAAATCTGGCCAGTTTCCCGTGCACTCCAGAGAAGGCACGCAAAATAAATAAACAACCAACAACAAACCACCACCACCACCAACAACAACAACAACAACTACTACTACTCCTACTCTGCCTCCTACTCCTACTCCTGCTACTACTGCTACTACTACTACTGCTGCTACTACTACTTGTTGTTGTTGTTGTCGTAGTGGTGCATCAGCATACTACTTACTACTACTCCTTACTACTTATTACTACTACTTATCACTACTACTTAATACTTACTACTACTACTACTACTACTACTACTCCTGCTGCTGCTGCTGCTGCTACTACTACTACTACTACTACTACTTACTATTCGCTACTTGCTAGTGGCTACTTCCTACTTACCACTTACTACCTACTACTTACTACTTACTAACTACTTGGTCAGCCGGGCGTAGATGGCCGGGTGGTTTCGGGACCATTTATTGCGCGTTGAAGAAGTTGTTTTAATTAACTTTTCTTTGGTTGTTAAGGGTGCTCTTTGCGCACTTGTTTGCTCAAACTACTTTGGCTACTCATTGTCTCACGCGCCGACACAACAAATCAATAACAATTATTCGACATAGTACAGCATCTTCTTGGAAGAATGCAGTCCGGCTTTCGGACTCGGTGATCAACGCTCCGTTCGAGGATCATTTTTCGCAACTTGTGCGAAACAAAGGGCTCGTCAAAGAGTCACTCCCATTGGGGCTCCAGATAAAGAACTCTCTCTCTCTCTCCATCAGGGCAGTTGGGCAAATGTTCCAGGAAAGTGAGTTTCCTCTACAAACACAGGTTTGTCCACGTCTATTTTTGTTGGAGACAGGGTATTCATATTCATCAACACTGGAGTGGCTCCAAAGGGGTCAAGAACCTGGACCACGCAAGGGTGCCCAAATCGTCTTCCAGAGTTTCCACGTCCATGTGAGTTCGTTCAAGGTTCATGTCGTGGCCTATGTCAACAAAATGGGCTCCGGTTCAGGTCCAGTGGTGTCTTTGGCTTGTGGGCAGCACACACGGCACCACCAGGAACCGCGACATAGCGACACAAGCGCGTTTGGCGTCGGAAGTGGGGCCCCATCATTTAAAAAAAACACATTATAGAGGCAGGCGAGGTTGGGGAGAGGACGGTGCCCCCAGCTATGACACAAGCATCCAGGGGCGCACCTTGAGGGGAGGGAGGGCAAAGAGAAGAAGAAGAAGAAGAAGAAAAAGAAGAAGACGATTAAGATAGAGAGAACAAACTGGATTCATTATAGGTTTTTTGTCTTCGCGGAACAGAATGCAAAAAAAAACACCGACGCCGAAAACGGGTCTCTCTCTCTTTTTAGACATGCGGGCAATTTCCTCGTTGTACAAAGGTACCGCAAGTGCAAACCCTACGGGTTGCGTGCCCACGCCCATAGCATCTTTTAAAGTAGCGGGCCGGCAGCACCCCTTGCAGAACGATGCAATGCAGCTCGAAGAGTAGCTGCAGCTGTTCTGTGTGGACACCTGCCTCGGACAGGACGTTGCTCTGTTCCAACGCAGCGTCTAAATCTTTTCCACCCAGAAGCAGCATCCGAATTAGTGCCCGTGCCATGCTCTCGCAAACGGTGGCGCACGCTGGCGCTTCGCAATCTGTGGGTAGGGCACGCATGACCCAAAAGGTCGTTTCTGCCTCTTTGTCGACCACCCTCACATAGTTCCCCTTACGCCCCAGACAGGCGGAAAAGAAACCCTGCGCAGCCCGAAAACGGTCTAAAAAGAACCGCGCGGGCGGGATAAATACTCCACAGGTGTTTGCTTGTGTCCAAAAGCTTTCAAAACGGTTGCTGTCTTCAGATCTTTTCAATGTTTCCAGGATCAAATATAATCTCCAAACATCCAAAAACCATCGTAGCCGACCTCCCCTCATCTGATCCCTACGGTCGTTTCGCTGAATCGTTTTGTTTTTTTGTTTTCCGGCACAAAGTCGTCATTGTGTCAGTGGCCTCGCCCTTCTCGGGCTTTTTTCAACAACACAAGGGCCTGCTCAGCAGTCAATCCCTGCGGTGTTGACGTCGATGATGATGACTCCGCCTCCTGGTTCGCGCGGACTTGGACGGCTTTTGTTTCCGTCAACAAATTGATATAATCGGGTCCGGTGCCTGAAAAATAGAGCTGGATGCGCTCACCGAATGTCGTTGTCAGGAAATTTCGCAACTCCGGTGGCAAAGGGCGCCAGCCAATTTCACGCCACCTCTCTCTTTGTTTCTCCACTTTCTTGGGAAAGAAGGGTCTCAATGCTTGCAGAGTCAACAAAGACAGTTCCAAAGCACCTTGGCGATACCTTGGATGGCGAGCACCATACCACAGCAGCGTGGCCGCGATGGCATAGCAGCCGAACCTTGAAGAGCATAAGCCCAAAATCTGCTTTGAATATTCCTTTTGTCCTGATGACGCCAAAAAAGAAGCTTCCCTGGAAACGATTGCACGGAGCATGCTGCGCAGACCGCTTTGGACATCACTCCAGTCAGTGGATGGGATGCGGAACGTTAAGGCAAGGGCTGTGCAGACTTCGTGGCAAGCGCAGTACTTTGTGGACCTCGAGGTGCAGATTTCGTGACAGGCGCAGCGCTTTATGAACCTTGAAGTGCAAATTTCGTAGCAAGCGCGGCACTTTGGGGACCTTGAAGTGCAGGTTTCCTGGCAGGCATAGCACTTTGTCAACCTTGAAGTGCAGATTTCGTGGCAGGCGCTGTACTGTCTGGGCTCTCAAGACTTCCAGACATCTATCTGTAAGACCTCTTGGACCTAGGCCTCTAAAATGCCTGACATGGGGGCACCCGGCACCCTAAAAAACGCCTCTCTACAACATGACGTTGAAAATAATTGCTGCTTGAGTTGTCTACAAAATACTAGTCCAGCTTGCCATTCGAGGGCAGCTTCCTCCGACATGAGGTTGACCGCCTCAGACTTTAAGTGGACCTTGAACATGGAGGCTTCTGGTACCCTACACATCTAGATCTCCAGACCTCCTAGTCTCAAGATGTCTACATGTCTGGATCTCTTAGACCATCACCACCATCTCCATAACCAACATCACCATCACCACCATCAATATTGTCATCGCCACCACCATCACCACCATCACGCTTCACCACCACCATCACAACCACTATCATCACCACCATCAACATGATCATCACCACCATCAATATGATCATCACCACCTCACTACCATCAGCACCACCACTACCATGACCATCCACAACAACCACCAGTGCAGATTTCGTGGCAGGCGCAGCACTTTGTGAACCTGGAAGTGTAGAAGCTGGTCTGCCCTGTGAAGACCACCTTCGCCCAACCAAGTGGGAAGGGCGGCTTGCCCTGGCAGAGCTCCAGCCCCTCCACCAGCTTGGCGCTGAAAGGCAGCCTTCCTAGGCGCAACTTGATGGCACGCCAAGTCAACAGAATGACAAAGAGTGATATTATCATTCACTGGTGCGTGATGTGGACAGTGTCAACAAGCTGGTCAGGAAAGCGCTTGCGTTCTTCTGCTACTAGGTTCAAGCATTACTCTCCTGCCAGCGCCGATATGAAGGTCGGGACAGCATTCCACAACATTCTTGGACGCACCTTTCTCCAGTTGCACAGTGGACATGACGAGGGTGATGATCACCGAACCTTTCATCCATAATTGATGTTCTCTTGGCGGATGCTTCAAGTATCTTCAAGTAAAGTTCCAAAATCTGAGCTGGTGAGCTCTCTCAGCAAGATCCGCAAATAGCAATCAGTGATTTCATGGACGCTGATACCAACTACGCAACAAAAGACTCTGTTCGCAAGAGGTTGATTTGTGAAGACCCTTGTAGGACACTGTTGTAAGACACACTTGGATGACACTCTTGCGGCCAGGGCGCAACTACGACGACGACAAATACAACAACTGCTGCTGCCGCTGCTACCGCCGCCACTACAACTGCTACTGCTGTTGAGCTGCTGCTCCTGATCTCGTGCAGTTCCGTCCTTTCATGCACAACCATCCTGCTTCATGGCATTCTAGCGCCGTCGACATTCCACTGCCGTCTACACCTACTACTGCAGCTACTATAACGCACTATAGCGCACTGTAGGAAGACCTACTATTTATACGGTTATGTTATAATATAATACATGGTGATTTCCAAGGTGTTGGAGGATGCAGGCTTTCCTGCACGTGACCAAAAGGGACGTCTCCCTCATCTGCCACTCCCTCCTGTGTCGAAGGGACGGATCGTCTGAGGCTCCACATCGTGGCCTGGAGATCGAGTGAGTCGATGGACAACTCCAAAGACCCGAACTCCAGGGATCGAGTGAGGTCAACAAGCTGGAACTATAAGTAGTGATACGGTGATTTCTCGTCTTAGGGTAAGAAGACTCTCAGTAAGAACATGGTCTTTCATTGTGTTTCTGGTTGGGACCGGGTTTTGAGGCCGGATCATTGAGTACACACGAATGACTCCGCCTACCAGTCACGGTCTGAGTACCACATGCTTTCAATGAAGGAAGACTCCGCAAAGGCTTTGACGCATCATACACAAACCCGTTTGGGCTCCTGGCCCACCTCCGTTTCGAAGATGGTTGGGGTGGGTGCCAGCGGGGGTCCAACAGCCTTCTGAGCACCTTCTGAGGATCTGGTTGGAGCCCTACCGAAAATCTTTGTACAGCTACATCTCGTGAAGAGCCTCGCCCCGTGTGGTGCCACAATGAGCTGTTCTGCCGCATGGGGAGCCTCGATCGACCCAGAACAGCTAGTATTGAGGTATATACCTGCAATTTGTTTTGGGAATGTGTCTTGGGCCATTTTAAACAGGTATTTTCATGTGCTGGTTCTACTATGCCAACAAGAATCATGATCCTGGTTGCATCAGGGCCACATCGACCCAATTGCTTCTACACTCCCTGGAATTATCATAGAAGGTCATAGAAGTAGAAAACAACCTGGGCCATGACATCCACATAAAGAGAATTCCAGGGAGTGTATTTGGATGTTTTAGGAACACATCCATCAACCACATGCTTTGCCCGCCGAGCCGTCCGACTCCCGCACAGATGTTTGGACTGCCAACCGGTGGTTCTCAACATCCGGCCGACTCCGTCCCTGAGCCGCCCGACCCAGGAGTTTGTGATACAGATATCCGGACACCTCGGGTTCCACTGGCCGCGCCGGAGCTGTTCCAGTCGCGAGCGCTGCCGCGGGTTTTGTGCGCGGCCGGCGGGCGAAGCCGTCGGAAGCCTGAATGTAACATCGATCAGTTGTACAAGATCGTTGCCAAGCATGTCCAAAAGCGTCTATAAAGCAATGAACTGTAGACTACATGAATCTCTAAGTGATAAATGTTCGGCCTAGCGGCAGTCTGTGTAAAATACTTGGGAACTGAAGTTGCCAAAGCAATCAACCATGGTCGACGTTCGCAATATCTGATCATATATTCATCGGCGGATGTCTTGCGGCTTCCTCTTGCTGGTTCGGAACCGGGGAAGAATTCCCTCAGTGAAGATGTGACCCATAGTGCCATAGGGCAAGGCCCAAGCCTCGACCGATCAACAAGACCAGTGGTTTCTTGGCATGAAAATTCCATGCTCTCCAGCTAAAGGGTTTCCTTCCTTTCACTTTCATCCCCAAACGGTCCTGGGACGGCCACTCTTCACCCCCGAAAAGAAGATTAGAGGCTGTAAACAAGCTCCCCCACGCATACTGCGTACTGTATATATATATATATACACATGTGTTTTCTTTGAACGACTCCGATGGCTAAAATAAAACCAATTCCCATATAGTGATGTGGACTTCAGGCTGCTCCATGGTTTGTGTTGTTTACCGTTCCTATATAGTTCGATTCCGGAAAGGAATGTTTGCCAAGTGGGATGTCGGTCATTCCTAAGCATCAGCATGGTAGGAACTATTGATGCTTACCACTCCTGAACATTCCTGAGCCACATCTAAGAATAAATGAAGAATGTCAGAATGAACATAAAACGTTGGAGCCCTCAAGGACATCAACATCGTTCACACTCATGAAAGCTATTGAGACTGTATGTCACATTCTCTTGGCCGCCCAAAATCCTGCGAAAACCGTGCCACCCAGTACACGCATTACTATTTCATGAAATTCATACCAATTCATTTATGCATACAAGAGCCAACCCGATCTATTGGCCCCCGAAAAGAAGTACCGAAAATATGTACCGTCAGTTCCATGCCGGGGTGCAAGCTTGGAGGATCGAGGTGGCGCCGTGAGTGGTGCACTCACGGTGTCGGTCTAAAAACGTCGAAAAAACACCTCCTGAAGACGGGGGCATCGACCGGTCACCTGAGTGCCCTTGCAGAGGTATCATCCACCGCGAAGGTCCGCATAGCTGCTTGCATCCGATCGAAGGAGGTCGACTTCCAAACCTCGGAGGTCGACTTCCGAGCGAGGACGACGCCACGAAAGGGGCCCGACCAGGGCCTGACCAGGTACCGTGGGGTTCTTATGCACTGCCAAAGAGATTTCAAAGAACGGAATCATAGTAAGTAAAGGGGATTGATCGCTAAACATTCATTTGCAAAGGGGTGGATCTGCAAGGAGCTTCTCTAAGACTTCCTTCTTCTCGGACTTGGTCCTCCAAGCGGTCCAAGCCAGTCCAATCCCAGCCATTTGGCTGTGGGTGGTATCCAAGAGACCGACCCAAGCACGGACCGACCGCTGGTGGCGCCCAAACCCGATTGGAACTCCATCTGAGTGCAGTGACGAACTCCACTTGGAAGCCGTGGTTGATGTCCCATGGACCCACCTGAAACGGGTCGGGTCTCGGCCCGCATCAGGTCGTGCCCCTATGTGGTGCCCCAAGTCTCTGCGCGCGAGAGCACGATTCTAACCTACTATAGCGATGGCCTCCAAGGAACCTATATAAGTGCAAGCTCACCAACGAGGTAGCCACTGTTATTTGGAGCTGTTCAAGCATGGATTTAGAACGCAAAAGCCCGCCCCCTAGGAACATGAACAGCAAACAGTCTAACTGTAGTTAATCTGCTGGGAGTTCGGGTTTGCGGTTTGAAGGTCTATCCACTTGGTAAATGATTACTTAATATCTCTTAACTCTTACATGTCTTTCATAGTTGGCACAGTTTGCCCGGTTTAGCTGGGTTTTATGGGTCATGTGAAGGGCATGTCGGTTTGTGACATCCATACTCAAACACAATGAGACTGGTTGTCAGAGAGATGAACCCAATTAGCAAGTGAGATAAGCAGCACAGTGGCACAGTTTTCAATGCAAAGTATACTATGCAACCACTGAGGCGCACCACCAGGTATGGAACTTTTGCAATTTTGCTTCGAAGAGGAGAAATGTTCACCCTTATAGATTGTAGCCAAAGTCTCCGCCAGGCCGCCACCCAACCCGAAATTGCTGTTGATGAACACAGGGGTGCGACTTTTCTTGAATCAGCTCGACTTAGATGTCCACCAAGTCTCCCAATGAGGCCCTGGTTCAGGAGTTGGTCTGACCGCTGGATCTTTTTTCGACGCAACAAGTTGGCGGCCAAGACTGATGATCTCTGTTACCGGCGTTTTGGTCTCCAATTCAAAACCCCCTGAACCGGTCGTTCACATCTCCAAGGTCGGTTGAATGGGTTTGAAACACTTCGATTCATCAACACATTACCCAGGAAACAAAACAACATATAACAACCAGAAACAGGTTTTGCATTTCCGGCACTTGAGTCTTGGGGGGCATCACACACTCAGTGTTTGGGGCTGCTTTCTCGGCTGGGGAAGCATGGCTTTCTGTTGGAAGATCGAGAATTTACCATGTCATCCTTACCAGAAATCTCTGCGATCCCCCCCCATCAAGGCGCGAACCACGCCCGGTTCCAAACCGTCCATCTCGGCGGTGCGTCGGTCTGCGTGCGTCGGTCGGCCGCCTGTTGAGGCCCACGGAGTTCCAAGGCGACCTGCCCAGTTCGTCCGGCACGGAGGAATCCGACGAAGCGGAGAGACTGCGGTCTCGGTCCAACCCAGGTCACAAGCTGCGTGGGACTGGCATATATGTCATTAAAGTGCTATGCCCTATAGGCGGATTCCAATAATCGTTGTTTTGCATTGGTTTACTATAGTAAAATGTTTGACATGGTTTTACTGTTGCATTTTACACTACCAAACCAGGTCGTTACCATTAATTGAATGGTCTTTTGAAGGCGAACGGACAAATATGGGTGAACTTTTTGAATAAGGCAAGCTGGGAGACCCCCCTTGGCCCTTGCCGTGGACACCGCTGGATGAGTGGAAATTCCCCCGCTGAGTCTGGTAGGAAAACCATTTGTTTGACTAATAGATGACTGAATTGGATTGAATTTGAATCTGTATGTATAACTTAAGTCCACGAATGAATTTAATGTTGTGATGTAACTCCAGAATGTCTCGTTTGCTTTACACGATTGCGGACTTCGTCTGGAGAAAACAGCAAACCTTCCTGCTGGCTTGAGAGCAAAGAACTCACCTACAGCACTTCATGTTCAGTGTCTTTTCATCTTGAGTAAAAGTACTTTCTGGGACTTAACGATGATAAAAAGTCTTGAGGGCGGCCGCAAGGAAACTTCACGATACAAAAACATTGGCTTCTGGGTGCTGGGTTTGATGTCTCTCTTTTTTCCCCAAGCAGTTCACTGTTGGGGTTCTATCTTAGAAAATAAAAAAGGGCTGGCACACTCACTGGCCGACTCTGTGGCTGGGCTCTGTGTCCAGGTCTTGTCCTCCTCTTGTCCTCTCTGGCTGGGCTCTGTGGCTGGGCTCTGTGTCCAGGCCTTGTCCTCCTCTTGTCCTCTGTGGCTGGGCTCTGTGGCTGGGCCTTGTCCTCTTCTTGTCCTCCTCTTGTCCTTGTCTTGGCCGCGCCCCTGAACTCTGTGGCTGGGCTCTGTGGCCCGGCTCTGTGTCCGGGTCTTGTCCTCCTCTTGTCCTTGTCTTGGCCGCGCCCCTGAACTCTGTGGCTAGTCTCTGTGGACCGGTTTACTGGAGAGGAGTGTGGCCGAACAAATAGCGATGTCAATGCCGACAAAAATTCATTGATGGAGCAGTTTGCTCTTGGGGTGAAGGTAGGGCGTACCAAGAAATCAATTTTTGACTAATATTGGTCTAAACGAATCGTTTTGAAGCTGTTTGGGGTCTATGCTTGTATAAGTTTGTTTCGCGGGAAAGGAGGTGCGAACAAGTGTGTGCTTTCGAAGCACCACAACAGCACAACCTCTGCCCAGCTTTTGGGGGGGTTCTATCAATGTTTAATCAAAGAAACGCCCCTTTGGCATAAAGACACCGACAAGAAGTTCTTTTGCAGCCGGTCTTGAGTCAAATGAACACCGGGCGGTGCGAAACCGGGAGGGGGCAGAACGGCAATCCAGCACATAAAAGCATCTGACCACTTCACGTCACTTTCCCTGCAAAACAGGTATATAGTAATTTGATGTAATTTGATGTAATTTCTGTGGATCCCCAAGTCCAAATAATGGTTACACAAGATAAAAGGACTTCTTGACTGGCTTTTATCCAGCTGGTTCCACCTCTTGACCTCGAAACCAACCTCCTCCTCTCCCCCAGACCTCTTCGTTCGCGGTGATTTTGGAGACATGTCCCACAGCATTCCAACCCGTCTCCTCGGCCGTGAAAACGCCGGCTACGCGTTCGGAGATCAGATCGGATCGGAGCAGCTGACAGCTGAAAGGTCGGAGAGAGGTGTGATTCCCCAAAAGGCCGAAAAAAGGGGGTCAATGATCTGGGAACTGAACACATGATGTGAATGTTCAGGGTCGAGATGGGTCAATGTGCAATAGTTCTGATCTGGGTCAATCGAAATCTTTTACAGTAACTTTGATATGAATTGAACATGAAACAAGTGCATTCTGTGATCAATCTTGGAGACGTGACGAGTCTCGACGGAAGATGAACAGACTTCATGGTCCTTTCTTAGACACTTTCCTCATCGAAGACCACACCGAAACAGGACAAACAAACGCAAACATACAAACAAACAAACAAACAAACAAACAAACACAAACTCGTTCTCTTCTGCGTGCCTTACAAAGAACCACGTCCCGTCCGCGCCGGGCTCGGCGCCTCCCCGTCCGGCTCATTCGGGCTCAGCGCGTCGAACGGGACCCCGCTGGGCACTCCGGGCATCGGCGTTGGCCAAGTTCGCGTAGGCCGAGGAGTTCAAGCGCAAGCGCAGCTCATCCCCCGGCACCAGCCGAGCCTGCTTCTGCGTGGCTTCTGCGAAGCAGGGCTTCTGGCTTCACGAATGGCTAGCTTGTTTTCGGTGAAGCCAGAAAGACAAAGTGTCTGGGACTGCATACGTACTAGTATGACAGTATGACTCCTACTCAGGCCCATTTGTGGGGGAATGTCATGCAGGGGAGGTCAATTGTTGGATTTCAGGCATAGCCCAGAGGCTCATTGGACCCAATCCGTTTTGCTAAGCTTTTGACCCTCAGACTCTGACCTCACAACTGGCCATTGGATGCTTCCCCGTATCGGTTTCTTCGCCAAGGCCCACGGTGGGCGGCCACCCAACAGTGGCGACCACGCGTTTTGGGCGGCCACCCCACCCACGCGCGCGAGGTCTGAGACCGGCGGTGCTTCCTTTTTTGCACGTTCGTGTCTGCTGTTGCGGGTGGATGACAGAGGGGATTGTCGGGAGGAGGACGTTTCCATACGGGAACATGGGGGCAAACCCAGGGTATGGGTTTCAAGGTCTGGCGGGGTGGATCTAACCCTGAGGTGATCCCAACAGCATCGAGGTTCGTGAGAACATGTGAAAACACGCACAGCAACCCGACAGCGGTTTCAGGGGCGTTCTCAGGGCTCGAGAACTGTGAAACGATGAGGCTATTCATCTTGCCCTGGGGCTCCAGTCATACAGGACCCTCAGAAGGTATGACTGGACCCTCCAAACCCACCAAAACGCCTCAGAAGGTACGACTGGAGCCCGGGTGGCCCAATGACAAGCGTACTGACTGCGTCTCACTGATCCCCCCAAAAGCTTCCTCGTCTGGACTTGAGTAACCCTCCAACCACCTCCAACCGGGGCTTGTGCGTGTGGAAGTATGCGTCCGTACGCCTATGCGTCCTGCATCTCTCGCTCGACTCGACCCATTGGGAGGTCGGGTCCTGTGATGCTGCTCACTTGAGACCCAAAAGTCCTTCGTCCAGACAAGAGACACACATCAACCACCACCGGACCGCTCCACCGCCACACCGAGCTAGCGCACCGCCCTCTTTTGGCATCCGACACGAAGGGCGGCCAAGAGAAAGCTTCAACCTCATGTCGAAGATATTTGCTGAAGCACCCATGTGCTTCAAGTCCACCCTATTTGCTTTCGATTGGGAGCTCTGTGTCCTGTGAACTCTCGTTCGACCATATTTTCCGTTGGATAAGAACACTTCAAGAGTCGCATGCCCCTCCAGAAACTGTGCGAAGTTCATCAACTCAGTCGGCTGTGAAACAAACACATTGCACCTGTTGGGGAATCGATCTTTTTTGATGCTTTGTGATGACCAGTGCAACACCCGGACACTCCATGCATGTCACATTTGCCTACATGCAGGTCGCTTGGGCAGGTCAACATACACTTCATTAAAGTTGGAATTCATCCATGACCGCACACCATCGCACAATAAGTGCCTCGCGCGTTTCGGTTCACCACCAGTGCAACAAGATATTTGGAAAAAACACGACATCAAAGAACATTTCAATAACACACAATAGACATACCATGACATACCACGACGACTAGGATTACATTCAAGACGTCTGCTCTTCTCTTCCAATGCATGGTACTCCATTGAGGCCCTTGAAAACATGTCGCTGAAAGTCACCGTGCACAGGCTCAACCTGCGGAGAACACCACTCCTTTGGGTGAGTTCACGTGCAAACACCGCCACGCCCAAAAGGCCTTGCGGCTCGGCGAACCGCACAGCAGCTCTTCCGTGCTGTCCCCGTGCGCCGCTGGTGGTGCTTTCCTGGCCTCGAACGCTTCCCTTCGGAGGCGCGTTCGGAACTGTTTGGCGGCAAGAGTTCCGTAGTTCTTCAAATGTGGTGCAGGCAGTCTCACAAAACTCAACACAAAACCTGTCAAACAAAAGGAATACACACTCTTATAGTTATACTCAAAAGTGGGAGCGCCCTACCTTTTCTTCCCTCGAGCCCCTGTGGCTAGGCCGTGAGCGGGGGTGGTTCCACACTTACCCCCTCTGGAGCTCACGAGCCTTGGCTACGCACCGCCTTTTGCGGTCAGCTGCCTCCTTCCGAAGGGCTTGTGCCTCCTCAGTGTCCACCAAGCACCATCGCCCTTCCTGCATCACTTGTAGCAGGACACCGTTGTCGCTCCATTTGGTGAGGCCATCACTGACCATCTCTTTTCCGGGCATCCACCTGATGAAGTTGCCCGAGCCCTCTTCCACCAAGGCCTGGCGTAGGACCGCCGCGTCGATGAGGATCTTTCGATCCGAGGTTTGGGCCTCTGAGGCCAGCACATCATACCCGGTTTTCGCATCGATCACCAGGTAGTGCTTCCAGTGGCTTGCATACCACTTCCATGACTTCAGCTTGAAGTCGGAGAAGATCACCTCCGCCAAGGCCGCCCGGATGAAGTCCCCATGCTCAAAGCTCTCAGCGGCCATGGACAGTTCGGCACTCATGCTGCACCTCACGACCCTCTGGATCTTCATGCTTTGCGCCTCCAGTAGGCATACGGGGGCGCTCTTCTCCAAGACATCCGGGTGGGCCACCATGCATGTCAGACCCCCCTGCGAGTGCCCTTTTGGCTGAGCTGCAAAGGCTGCATCACTGGCCGACACCACAATCATGTCTCTCAGGTCGCAGCCCAAACGTGGCACCTTCACGATGACCTCCTTCTTGGCGCGCCCCACCAGCTTTGCAGTCCACTCCATTGCTTCTCTTCTCCCGGCGCCGGCCAACTGTTGACAGTGGGAGACCCCATAGGAAAGGTCATACCTTCCTTGCCGGGCGGTCCAATTGATCTGCCCGAGGATCGAGCCGATCTTGGTGCGTTCCTTTTCACTCAACGGCCCCCGTTCTGGAGCCCACTCTCCCTTCTCAATGTCCGGAATCTTCTCCACGTAATTCTCCATGCTGTAGAGGAACTCCAGGGTCTTCGGGTCCTGCTTCTCGTAGCGCCCACAGAACTTTTGCCAGCCATCGGTAGCCAAACGATGCTGACCAAACTTCAGACGCTCATGCAAGGCATCCCAAATTTCTTGGGCGGTCTCATCCCCCGCATAGCGAGTGTCGTCCACATGGATGGTGACCACTGCTCTCAAGCGACCATCCGGGTGGAAGGCAACGAACATCCCAGGGATCAGCTGCAGCTCGTTCAGCTTGATCTGCTTCAACGTGGCCTTGTACTCCAGGTACCATAGTCTTGGAGATTCTGCCAACCCGAAGCCTCCCTTGAGCAACCTGAGCAGGTCATTCCGGCAGCCTCCTCCCACCTGCTCCTTGATGTAGTCCGTCACGACATAGGGGTAGCCCGTCGGCAGCTTCACGTAGACCTCTCGCTCCGCCGGCAGCTTTTGGCCCTGAAGGAAGGCCGCGCTCACATCCTCGTAGTGCACCACCCAGCCCATCTGAACCGCCACCATGTTCAGGATGTTGTGCCCCAACAGGCTGGCCGTCGGTGCCAAGGTGGGATACCTGCCGGCCTCCATGTCCTTGTGACCCCCCCCGGATCCATCGAGCCTTGAGCTCTGCCTTCTCCAGAGTCTCGCCTCCCTTATTCGTCAGCGCGAAGCGAGAGCTCAGCACCTTCCGGGGATCTACGATGGCATCCTTGGGAACTCCCTCAATGGCGTCGTGGTCAAAGTACACCTGCACTGCCTTGACCAAGGGCTTCTCATAGGCCTCTTGCCACGCAGCTGACAGCTGCTTCCATTGGTACTCCACCCTCAGCTTGCCAGTCACCAGCTGCGCCTCCAACACGGCCTTGACGTCCCCCGAGGCATACTCCTCCGAGCGGTCGATCACATTCTTGAGGTAGTGGTTCTCCTCAACATCCGCCTCCCACAGATTTTGCTGAGCCTCCACTTCTGACCAAAAGGTGCTCCACGGCTCCTCTGCTCGACCTCAACCACCAAGGCTCCTCGTGCGGGCGGGGCAGAGGTGCCCCTCGCTGAGCTGGCCGCTGTGGAACCTCGTGCTGCTCGCCGCTCCTTCTCCTTGTGCTCCTTCTTCCAATCCTTCCGCACCTTTTTCAACTGGCCGTAGGCATTCTCCAGGCGATCCCGCACGGCTGCCTCCTGCATAGCTGACGGGGCCCCCAGATCCTTGGCCAGTTGTTCAAACAGCTTCTGCTTCTTCTTGAACGGGAGGAGATGTGGTTCGTCCCGTTCATCCTTCCCGAGCGCCTGTGGCACATCATGCAGGAGCTCCCTCTTCTTCTCCACCTCTGCCTCAACGGAGACCGCCGGGGGCTCTGCTGCGGCTTCCTCCTCCTTCGGGTCGTCCTTCTTCAGGTCCTCCACCTGGAGTCTACCATCGTTCAACTCGCCCCCCAAATCCTTCAAAGCGCCGACGATGAAGTCTGCACTGGCCATCTCATCTGCCGTGGCCAGTCGGATCTTCTCGAGCGGGTAGGCCTTCACCCGGGACCGGAGCCTCACCACCTTCTTGGGAGTTGTCCCTTCCCGCTCCACGCACACCACAATGGCTGGTCCTGACCAGGATACGTTGTCCTGCAGACGGCGTGCAAGCCCTCGTCGATTTGCCGGAGGATCGTACACATACACGGCAGTCCCTTCTCGAAGTAGTTCCAGGTGAGGTGGTCTGGACCGCGCTGCTAAGGCTCGGCGAAGTCCTTCATGGGCATCGATCCAATGGCAAGCTTCAATGGAGGCGGCTCTGATCCGATCTGCTCGACGAATGGCCTCCTCCTGAGTGATGGCCTCATTGAGCTTAAACTTCACCTTCCCACTGGTCAGCTGGGCCATCAACGAACCTGGCAGTGGGGTGTTCCTTCCGGTCACGGCTTGCAGTGGAGCGACTCCATGTTTGCCCACCACCCGATTCTTAGAGGCAAAGCACGAGGCCAAGGCACACTGCATGTCCTTCAAGTTGTCGATCTGCAGCTCAGTCACCACCTTCATCAACATTATCTTCATGATCGACCCGTGCCTCTCGGCGTGTCCCAGCCGCCATTTGGCTTGATCGGGCACCACTTCATGCTGCACCGCAAAGAG